ATTTATTGCTGCCTGGAAAAATATTAAAAAAACATCTTTTGTTTTTATTTAATTAAAAATAAAAATAAAGTTCAACCTCCAATCTCCATTCAGTTGAAATTAATAATTGTTTAGCTTGTTCATGTGTACATCCGGTTGTTGTTACCATCTGATTGATCATAACAAGATGTGCAAGTGTTTCATTATTTATTGTTGAACAATCGATTGTAGTCATGACCTAATACAATCTTAAAAATAAAAAATAAACGACATAAAAGTCTTAATTAACTAAATCAATCTGTTTTTATAAGAAACGTGTCTAGACATCAAAATTCAACCATGTTTCTTATCAAGAAAAAATCTATTTGAATAAGCCTAGATATGATATTGATTTAGAGAATATAAGTAAAATATTTATCAAAAAATTATTTTTCTAAACTATCACAAATATTGTTTTCAAATATAGAACTAACAATAAAAATAGATCTAGTTAAATCTACTCACAAAAAAAGGAATATAACTCATGTATAGATATATCGATTGTCATGATAAATGTGTATGTATATATGTGTATATGCACACATGTTTCATCTGAACAGATGATGAGATGTGTATATGTGTGTGTGTGTATGCTATACTCTCGATCCAACCGAAATGTCACCCATCACTATCGTCCTACTTGCCGGGAGGAAAGAGAGAAGGAAACAAGTGTGTTGTGAGAGAGGATGATGATGATGATGATGATGATGACATTCCTCGCCTTTGCGTCTCGTTAGCAGTTTTTCTTTTTTTTCTCTTTTTCTGGCTCGTTTGTCGGTGAAAAAACTCTTTATATTGCCTTGTTGAAAGTTCATTCTTCTTTCTCTTCCGATGTATGCGGTAAATCAAAGCTTCCGTCTTTATGCACACATGCGATTATCATCATTCAATGTTTTGTTCAACGTGCTAATACAAGCTTAGACATATATAAATTCAATTATATTACTATTCATTCACACAAACATATACACTTCATCATAATATCACGAAATTTTTTATCATCAAAAGAATAGGATAGGATTACGAATACTAAAATATATATTATTAGAAAATAGAGTTTTTTATTTCCTATCTATCGTACTTACTAACTTTTATAAGAAAAAAAAAAGAAATGAAGAAACAACTGAGTACTCGTCCACACACACACACACACGATGAACGAGGAAAAACAAGAATGAATGTTGTTCTTTTCTTTTTTTTTTCTACATCCGTTTTTTTGCTTTAACAATCGAGTCAGATTGACAACAAACATTGACTATTTTTTTTTCAGATGATGATGAAAGGTTTTTCTTTATGCAGATAATTCATTGAAATTGAGTGTTGAAAAAAAAAATTTCTTTATTAATCAATAATGACATGAAATGATTTTAAATCAAAATCAATTATTAAGTCTTTTTCGATTGTCAGAAATATTTCTCTATTTAATTAAATATTTTGATATTGTTTATAAAGATATTATTATTAAACAGAATTGATTCATTTCAATAGAAAATAATGTCTATTGGGATTAACAATCGAACAATATAATAAAAATACTTAAGGACAATTATTCATTTTTTTTTCAAATCAATAAAATGATATTACTTTAGTTTTTTCACTAATAGAAAAATTATGACTATCCATTCTCACTTTTCTTGTTATATGGAATAGGGGAGTACGACTGATTATATGATAGCTGATCTTTAAACTATAACAAAAAAAAAGAAAATTACTTTTTGACAACTATATCTTAGAAAGCTACTGATCATAATCAGAAGCCAATGAATGAAATGCTTTTAGCTATGATAAATTCAATGATGATGAATTTGATTAAAAAACAGTTTTCTCAAAGGATTTATTAATCATGATCATAACTCAATCGATTAAGCTACTTTATTCATAATATAATCAGTTGAATGTTGGTCTATCTCTCTCGCATGATAAAAATCAATAGAAGATAATTAAAAATTTTGTTTTTATTCAAATCTCTTGTTTTAATAACTTAAATATTTCTCACAGATTTATAATTGATTAAATGTTAATAAAAGTTCGATGGAATGTAAACTATGGAACCTTAAACATGCAGAAAAACATGCTTAATAACTCTCATCACACATTTTTTCTAAAAATAATTTAAATAAGGATTTTTACAAATGACCTTTTAGTATTTTTCATGCAATGATTATATAATTAATTTTACATTAACTTCTTTACTTTGAATTACAGGATTTCCGTCAAAAAAAATGATAAAATCTCGTAAATATCATCAGAAAAGATAACACTAGAAAATTTATATTTATTCAATGTATAATATGATGCACTATCTAATTACATATATGTAAGATCATTAAACTAAGATTTTAATATCTTATTTAAGGATAAAATAGAAGCTTATTCAGTGCATTACAATATGCTCTAAATTTTAAGAATAGAAACTTATTGTACTTGAAAATATTTTGAAAATAAGTCCTTTTTTTAGATCTTGATGAAAAGTAAGCAATTCAAATCATGTATCGAATATTTAACATTGTTTTAGTAAATATTTATTTTGTGATTTTCTTGAGTTAAGTGTTAAGGTATTTATTTACATTCGATTAGTATAAAAGGAAAAGAAATATCCATTATGATTATAAATCTACCGCTATTACATATACAAAAGTATGAAGTCGGATTTTATTCCGACTTCCAACAGTATTATTCCAGAAGTCTCTTATAATCCATCAAAATTGTAAGTTTTCTGAATAACAAAAGTTCTGTTGAAAATTAAATGGAGATTTTTTACTAACTGTTTTATGTTTATTACTAGATAGGCAACAACAGCAACAAAACTAAAGAATCGATAATAATTCGAGGGTATACAGGACAAAATGCTAACACTCCCGTTTTATTCAAACTTTTTTATTTCACATCTTAAAAGAAATATACATGTATAGAAGTTCGAAAGATTTCAGTTATTAAAAATAGAATCAGGATTTTATCGAAATTACATTTAGAAAAAGAGAATTTTAAAGATATGAAGATACATGCACTCGATTTATTAGTTTTAAGTTTTACTTTAGCTGTTATATGAAACTGAATTCAATGATTCTAATCTATTAGATATACACGATTTATGATACTACAGGTATACATAATGAAAATCTATAGTTTCTCTCCCAATGACATCAGTCGCATCGAGTTACAAAATCGTTTAATTTGGCAAGAAAAATGTGGACCATTTTGTGAATTTTCCACAGATTTATGTGGAAAAAATACCCTTATTGAACTAAACTTTGTATCAATTACCATTTTCATCTCTTGCATAAAAGTATTCAGAGATAGTCTTTTAATAGAAACCAGTTAGATCATAATTAAATAAATAATTGAGAATGAACATGTCAAATTTCTCTTAACATGCCATTTGATATAGTAGAAAATTCTTTATTTAATTTGTGTAAGAAAAGTAAACGACCGATTGGAGTATTTTTAAATTCAATTCTCACAGCGACATGTGCCAGGTAGAACTCGATGAGTTATATCAATTAATAGAGCGCATCGAATTACATTTGACTCACGGCATTTTATAACTGGCACAAATCGTTGTGCGCATTGATTTCAAAAATATTTCAATTGTTCGTTAACTTGCTCTACATAATTATTTCTTATTAAAAAATATATTTCTATCTATATATTCCAACAAGAGTAAGTATTAAAGATAATTGCCTATTATTAGAATTGAATCTCTTAGAAATTAAAATGAATAATTCAACACAAATTTCCAGGGAAAATGGTTAAACTAATTTTATTCATATATTTGGTGAAAAAATCGAATATTTTCTTTCCTTGTATTAAGTGTCACTGTTTTTTTTATCAGTAAATTATAAATTGAAGACTTGACAACTGAAAGCTCGAAATGTAATTTTAGTTGATCAACATTCTTTTTCAGTATAAGTGATTTTTTTTTGTAGTTTATAATATAATGAAAAATATGTTCTACATTTTGTTAACGCTTCTTTGAATTTATACAAAACATATAGTACTTTGAAATACAATAAAAAGAACACTTTCCTTTCATGAATGGACTGAGAACGTGCTCATTAGTTCGAATAATCTATTGCGAATTATTTCTTTATAGATTACTAAAGGAAGCGTCTAATTTTATTAAATCTTACATCCTTATGTTGAAAAGAAAAAAAAGGACGATTTAGAATTTTCCATTTAAATAGAGAACAACTTTTTACACACAAGAAAATGATTTTATGGTATTATAAAACGGTAAACAATCTATTTATTCTGATATAGAATGTTGTTAGTATAAAAAAATGTAATCTTTCACGCATGTAATTTAGAATTTTTTTCTATTAAATATGTCAGAAATAGAATTGCGCATAAATTTTGATATATTTTTTCATAATTCATGATGCCCCGTAGGCTTATTCTCCGTTGAGACCAACTTTGATTTATGATTACTTCGACATTATTTGATTGTATATAATCTATGTAAATAAAAAAGATCAGAACAAGTTCTGAGTAATGTCCCTTCTTTATAACAAATATTTCCGGAAACATCATGGTATAGTAGCCGACATAGTTCATACTATAGCGTGAATATAATTTTAGTCAGAGTAGTAGCTCATCGAAATTCTGTATATGAAAATATCTTGAATTGACATATACAGTAAAAGTAGATTAACTTTCTTAAGTATATTAAGTCCAAAGCAACAAATCCCGGCAACATTACGTCTTCTGATTCAAAGCAAAGTGAGCTAAATTTTTGTAATAAACTGAATTGAATATGACTTATCTTTATAGACTTTTATTGAGGATATCACATGAAAAACACTTTAGAGAGGATAGTAGAATGTATTTTTTCTTCACTAGTTATACAACTGAATGAACTTGCATAGCAATCAAATTCTAATTGACAACGGATGACTTATTCGGAAGTTCATAAGAATGAAATTCAACAGGATTTCTCTACAAAGAAAATAATAATGAAATATTTTTGAAACTATATGTTATCTTCTTCAAAAACAAATAGAAAATATATTATTAAGATATTTTTCACTCGAACGGATTCCTTTTGAGCGTCATTCCACTGCTTAAAAGTGTAGCTACAAAAAGAAAAAAAAAAGAAAAAAACATCTTTCTGTATAAAAATGAAGAAGTAATTATTATATATCACATAAAATAGGTGACTCTAAAAAGAACAAGAAGAAAAATACATCATTCGACAATTCAGTATCTTCATTTCAATCAATTTCTTTTCAGTGTAAGTCTTATGAGGAGGGGTCTCTAGATGTTCAAGTCGTTTAGACTTTAAAGAAGTATGAAAAATCTCAAAAAAATCTAGTCCCTTATGTCTTTGTTTACCTGTGTTTGAGCCGAGAACATAGTATTTTGGGAAATATCAAAAGAAAAAATCTCACCTATAAATAGAACTAATAGCGGCTACAATGTTCTTAAAATTTCAATCAAATCGGATACTTCCTTAAGAAGTTAATCGCTTGCCTCCAATAAATACTCATATTTTGACAAAATATTCTAAGCATCATCATAAGACCTATTTATGGACGAAATACTGTGTTCTTCATCGAACATCCAGTAAAATAAAGTCACGAGGGAATAAATTCTTTTGAGACATTTCATCCTTCATTAAGATTTACCGATGAGCAAAAGATAGAGTCCAAACGACGCGAATATCTGAGAATCTTCCCTAGTTAGAAATCAACCACTGTAATACTAAAGTTTAATATAAATAGTGAGATATTCATCAACGGAAATAGAAGTGAGTAATCATATCAAACAGTTGTATTGTACTTGTATATACATGTCAGCGTCATGACAAAATAATAAATAAAAAAGAGATCTAGAGAGAGATTATTCTTTAAGAATTCATTTAAGTATTCTTCGAGTACTTCTCATGAGACATTAACAGTGCACTCTCTAATGAATTATATATTTATCAATAGAAAAGTTTTTCATTGACTTCCGAAACTAAAAAATAGCTCGACGTAATATTAAAAAGGTGCGTCATAAGTAATCTAACAAAGAAATAGTTTTCTCAATAGAATGTAAATGGCTAACGTATCTTTTGTTTTTATTCATTCATGAATAAATAAATATACAAAATTAATTAATAGGGAAAAAACTAATATCCTCTTGAAAATTTCTTTCATAGTTTTTTTATTATAATCGATTCTGAATTTCATATTACAATTATAAATTGAAACTTAGTTTTATTATCATCGAATAAATATTTTACGTAAGTATATAGAATCTTATATTATGAAAATATCTATAAAAAATAATAGACTTTAAGAATTTTTTCAAAGAAAAAAGCATTTTAATGGAAACAAAATGAGATGAGAGAATACATTGTATTCTATGAAAAAAGAAAATGCGGTATGTCAATAGGAAATTCCTAACAACGGTTCAACTAGAAAATGGTTCGTGTGTTCTATTTATTAAAAAAAGAATTTTTTCACTATGAATAGCATAATAGAACATAATTTTCACCGGTTTACTCTGAATTAGTCGTTATAGTTCAGTTAACCAATAAAAACATGTGTTTTAGATTTTATAGAACAATTAGATTAATAGGATATTTTATTCTCTCATGCATTTTCTATAAAATAAATACGCAGAGCGAGAGAAAAAATAAGAGAAAACAAAAGAATGTTTATTATTCCTAATGCATGACATGAGATATTTTGTGTTTTGTTTTTATGAAGATGGTAGAAGTATATGATCTATATAATAATAGACATGCAATTTCTATATTAACACTGAGAAGTCTCTAGTACAAATAGTATATATGATTTTATGTCATAAATAAAAGGTAACAAATTGTGTAAACATAGAGAGATTTAGTTTAAATTCTGCTTATTGATAATGAAAAATTCTATTAATGATTGATTCAGTAGAAAATTGTCTCTTCTCATTTTGCAAGTTTACTATTTGATACATATAAATAATAAATGATAGTATCATTACTATTATTAAGTTGTCCTTTAGTAGATTGCATTTATTAGAGAAATAACATCTTCTATCTGCAGGTTGATCTATATAAGAATATTTATGAGAATAACGACATTTTTATATTTTATGACCATGAGGATTCATCTCTTCTGTTATGTTTTGATATCTCTAAAGAAGTTTATTAATGTCGCATATTAGTTAAGTTAGCTGATAAAGAAGTTGATTACTTTCAGAAGGTTATCAATCTGTTTATTTTAGTAAAAAACTCCTTTATTACCTTCGCGTGTGAAATGAGAGAAGTGTAACTTACTTTTTACAACATTTAAAAAAAACAGTTGATTATATAATGAATTATTGTATCATCGACTGTAAATAATATTTCCAAATATTCTCTTGTAACCATTGAAAAACTATATTAGACTAGACATGTCATAATACTTTAAATTAATCAATTAAGTAGAGTCTAACTTATCAGTTCAAAGTAAAAAAAATACTGCTACCATACTAATGAACAGATCGTTTAAAAATGTTCTCGTCTAACCCAGTAACTGATCCATAAATAATATAAACTATCTGTTCGAATTTTCCATATCGTTAATTATCTGTACTTCTTCTATTAAATGTAATCGAATACGAACTGTAGTAGCAGAAATGTTATATATTATTATCGTCAAAAAAAAAGAAAATTTAATTTCCACTGCAATATAAGACAAAAACAAAAAAAAATTCGTTTAGCATATGTCATATTTGTCAAATTGGAATATAATTAAGCGAAGAAAAATAATGTCAGTTGTTCTAATATATCTTCTAAGTAATATTCTTTCGCTGTATCTTATATCCTTTCTATTCTTAAATTAATTGCTTTTCTATCCTCCATATTGCATATCAGGCATCAACAGCAGTAATAGATGAAAGAAAACATATATATATATATTACTACTAGAGGTTTCATTTCGAAAGGTAATAAGTTCTTTTTTTCTATATAAAAGTCATATTTAGATGAAAGATTTTTATTAGTTTCTACTCAAAATATCTATAGAGGATATGATATAAATTACAAGTATTAAGATGTAGTTCACTGTTGTTTTTCTATTTAGATTAAATAAATGTCGTCTGATGAAATATATGATAATAATGAAAATAATTTAAATTTATTTTCTAAAATCTTGACTGTGATTATTCTGGTTTGTATTTGTACATTGGGAGTTATTGGTAATTGATTTAATAAAAATTCGCAAATTTCATATGTTTATTTCTTATTAATAGGTAATCTTGTTGTTCTTATTGTTGCATTTCGAAAACGAAAATATCGACATGTTACCAATTGTTATATTATAAATTTAGCTATAACAGATCTTTTATTTTTACTTATTTCTGTTCCATTAACAGCTTATTTGGGTCTAACAAACAAATGGATTTTAAATGGTTTTGTTAGTTGTCGTGTTCATATATATCTCGCTCATGTAAGTTAAAATTCTAAAGGAAAAATAAATCTCTTAATCTCAGTAATATCAAAATTTATAAATAGTTATTTTATTTAAATAGACTCATTAGTATAATATTCGTTAAGCCAGATTAAAATATAATTATAAATAGTTATGACATGAAACAGAAAAAATACTCAAATTTATTTAGTTCTTACACGACCACCTAGAACTCGTATAAACTTCAGTTGAAAAATAGATGTTTAAACGTTTTCTGTACTTCTACCAGCAGATCAACAGTGAAGGAATCAAATGTTCAGAGCAAAATGCACTTTACAAATGATCATCTCATAAAACATTCAAGGTTCAGGCAGATTGGTTGCAGGCAGTTATGTCACGATTAATATCATATTCAATGTCATTGTAGTACCTAGACTAAAAAAATATTTTTGAATATTAATTAAAAAAGAAATTTTATTATTAATGGAAAAGAAAATTACTCATTGACATTATATTATTATGTTATTAAAAATTTATATTATTCATATTCTTAATATAAGTTTATTAAAGATTAATTCGTTAGATAATAAAAGATGAATAACATTATCATTATTATAATAAAATATATTTTTTATGTTATTTTAAAGGTTCTTCTTCAAGCAACTTGTTATACATTAGCAGCAATGAGTATTGATCGTTATTTTTATGTAGCTAGTTGTCTTATAAAACCTCCTTGGCGAACGCCGTTAAATGCATGTATTATTTGTGTACTTATTTGGGCTGGTAAGATAAAAAACAAATTTCTTAAAAGAAATAAATCTATTTAATTTGATCTAGTATCAATTGCTTTTGTCTTTCCATACACATCATTAACATCAAATACTGAAGGTGATATAAACAATTGTTCAGTATCAGCTTATCATCCATTTTTTGCATCATGTTTTTTTCCATTTTGTGCATATTATGTATTACCATTAATAATTATTGCACTTTGTTATACAAAATTATTTCTTTTTATGCGAAATAGTTCAAAAAAAATGTTTCGACGTCGAGTAAGTCTTAAAGAAAGAAAATTTTAAATTTATTAATTTTATATTTTAAATAATAGCTTAGTCTATTAAATCGTCCACATATTATAGCAAGACGTCAAAGAATAACACGAACATTACTTTCATTAACTTTTGCATTTGCCATATGTTGGCTTCCAATACATACACTTGAATTTCTTAATTGTCGACAATTATTAGATGAATTTTATTTTCGTCATTCAACTTTACTGGATATATTCAGATTAATAGCACATGCTCTATCATATTTTAATTCATGTCTCAATCCATTTTTATATGCACTTTTTAATAAAGATTTTTTTCGTTAAATACTATTCTCTGATTAGTTTTATCGATACATATTTTATTCAAATTATTTAAGAAACTATTTTATCGATAACAAGACAATATAGAATTATTTGATCGAGATATTTATAGTGTAATTAGTAAAGAATGCTCATCATCAAAGTAGTAATTTGGAACCTTTATTATAGTGGCGGCGACAGGGTCTTCAAGCCCCGATTGCTTTTCTGAAAGAGATGACAATTAGATCAAACATGATACAAAAGTCACTTACAGAATATTTTAATTACCATCGGGTAATGCAGCTATGATATGTCAGACCGTTACGATCGGATGTCACTTTCAAAAGACATTTGTTTTATCACGTCATAATCGATCAGTTTAAAATTCCAGAGATGATTTCTTCATATAGCCTGATATTGTGCTTAGCGAGATTACTCAAAGAGACGAATAAATCACGTTGTATTTACGAGCAAATGAACTTTTCAAGAAAGAACAATAATATTTAGAAAATTATGAGTTTTAAAATATTTTATTAAATTTTTTATAGCCATTTTCGCAATTCTCCTTGAAGAAGACATTCGACTTTTGAAGAATTATCATGAAATTATGATATTTTTCATAGTAATCTGTATAATACATTTTATACTATTGGTTGATTAATCTTCGTAAAATAATTATTCCTTATCTAAATAAATACTTAAATAATCATTTATCAAATTAACTATACTTTTATTTAGATAAAGACATTTGTTTCTTTCATAGGTTTTTATTTGTATAGTACTATATCTAAGCACTCAAATTAATTTCATGATTTGTTATCAAATAGGAAATATATGTCTCATCGTCGAAATTTAAAAAGAATTTTTGTTTTGAGATATAAATAAAGTAATTAACAAAACTTTTTATATGAATTATACTTAATATTATAGCAAGATATAACGAATGTCCAGAAATTTCTCGCTTAAATTGTGACCTAGATACTTTAGCTTTGTTTCAAAAGATAGTACGTGTAATTCTCTAAAAAACTGTATGAAAACAGCTGTTTCAACAAATAACTATGAAATTATCTCTCGTCAACACTAAAATACTCCGAAATGGGGCACTTTCAAATATCCATTTTTATCAAAACCAGATATGAAACCCAATTGTAACGCATGTTTTCGTATGTACTCTTTCTAACACAGCTTAAGCGAAGATATTCACATATGATTGCGAGATTCCTGCAGTTAATCTTCTACAGAAAACGTTTTTCTTCTGCTTAGCAATAAATTTGAATATGGATTAAATTTTAATGGAGGATTTTCAGAACGTGAGCAAAGGGGGACAAAAAAAGTATTCGCTAAACCGACAGAACTTTTCATACAGTTTTGTAGAGAATTGCATGGACTATCTTTTAAAAAAGAAGCTCAATTATCTAGGTCACAATTTAAGCGAGATATTCTAAAAATACTGCGAAGGTCATTTATACTGGGTGCCATAAAGAATGCTAATTCTCTTTCATTTCATCACGTTCTACTGATATGTTTGAGTATTTAAGAAGTGGATATTGTAAAGACAAGGATGATTCTTGTTTTTACGAAAGAAAGGAACTAAAGAACGAAACAGAGGCGATAACACTTAACATTATTAATATCTTTTTGGTTTTGTTGATTATATGATAAAATACATTTAGATTTTTTTTTATTGCAATTATCACTATAGATGAATAAATTTGTAGACATTATATATTAATATTAATGGCGTAACTGAGGGTGGACGTCGCCCATTCCCTGCTTGTTTTTGTTCGAGAAGTGGGAGAAAAAAAATTAGTAATTACTATCATTTACACTATTTTTTATGCATATTTTTTCAACGATCATGGAACACCCGTAATTTTCTGGTTACGCTACTAATTAGTATGATTTTATAAAAAAAAGAGTGTTATTTTGAATAAATAATTATTTTTTCATTTGTAAATAGCGTATATATCGTAGTTTATGACGAGAGATATTTGATGGCTTATCAAAACAAAAAACACGCGAAGTCAATTGATGTTCGCCTTGATTCCTTTTGTCTATATATTTTTTTATCATTCTCATGATTATTTTTGTGGTATTTATTGACAATACGCACATTTTTTTCTTTTGTCTATTTCTCTACGCTTCGAGTCATTCTATCGTAATGACGTGTTTTGATGATCTTAGTATTGATGTATTACCAAAAATATTTGACTATCTTACATTTATTGAACTTTATCAAACATTTTTTGGTTTACAAAAACGTCTCGATAATATAATTCGAGATAATTCAACATGTATTATTTTATCTGGTATCGATTTACAATCGTTTCAAATAAAATATTCTCAATTAAATTTCGATAAGCTTCGATCTATTACATTTAGAAAAATGAATCTTCTTACATTACATTCGTTTATTGAAAAATTACCAATGAAACAACTTGAATCTATTACTATTGGACGTTTTACTTGGCATTATTATCCAAAAGATTTATATGAACAAGTATGGTCTATCTTTATGAATAGTATTTGTCCGAATCGTCTGCGTTATTTGAATTTACCATATCATATACGTTATTGGAATATTCAAAAACTTTCATTTGATTTTTTAAATTTAGAATATGCGAAATTAGAATATATATCAGTTACTCAAATGTTATTATTTATGAATCATACACCTAATCTTCGTCGATTTCAAGCTTGTCTCGATGCTCCACATAAGAATCTTTTTTGTTATACAATTGTTCTTCTTCAACTTAAATATTTAACATTGAATCTTCATGACGAATGGTCATTTGAACAAGTTCAACAACTTCTCAATATATGTCCTCATTTAAAACATTTAATTCTCAAATTAGAAGCACAAAAAGACAAGAAAATTATGTTCGAACCATCAACATGGAAAAAATTAATTGAAGAGAAATTATCTCATTTGAAATCTTTACGACTTCAATTGAATTGTATTGTTACAGAGTCAAACGAAAACATTCATAGTTATCAAAAATCATTCAATCATGCCGCATATTGGCAACAACGACAACCGCACTTTCAAGTAACAATCTATAGAATTCAACGTACAAATTCTATTTCATAGGCTTTTTTTGCTTCTGCATGAAAGATATCAACTGACCATTGTTTTTTTTTGTTTGTCTGAATATGTCTTATCAAAGAAGTACATATTCATAATATATACGAGATTCAGAAACTAGAAGTTCAAGTGAATTACAGGATAAGAGTTAGAATGTCGAGGTAAATAAATCGATTGCTGACTTCCAGTCAATTATATGACTAAATATGAATAGCAAAGTATTTATCATAGTAAATGAAAAATTATATCCTAGCAAGAGAAAATGAAGTTATCTATATGACAATAGCTTAGAATTTTCTCCCATTTATGTTCATTCCTTTTATTTTGCTTGATAATGAAGGACATACGGACAATATCGTGTAATATAGAGTTTCACAGAATATCTGATTTCTGAATCTTAGATACTGCTGATATCTACGTCTTAATAGATGATTATATAATCTACCCTCAAACAGGTCAAAATAAATGAGATATGATGAACAATAACAACAGTAATAAAAATGATTTTCTATCGTCAACTATCTAACAGTTTAGTTTAAAGATAATGATCTTCCCTATTGTGCTGAATCAGTTGGTTTCGTATTCTATTACTGATAGTATATTGCGATTACTTACTTTCATATTATGATTTATTATTTTAAAGATATTTAGAATGTAGATAGAATATATGCGGTTTACTACTAATAGTAATTCGTTTTTTTCGATCATTCAATATTCTAATAATATTTGACAGTGAGAATGAGCAAGTATCTTTACAAATATAATCTTTTATTTAAACGAAACAATTTATAATTTTCTTCTATTCTATTATTCCATTTAGATTAGTATTGTTTATTTTTAATATATAGGACATATTTAAACAATAAATTATATGAATAGATTTCTTGATTGAATATCGTACACATGTAGAGGTGTAAGACGGTAGAGAAATTGGCGGCGATGGCGGCTGCTCAGTCGCACGGTTTACGCCTCTATTCACATGCATTAGATGATGAATGTTCTTTTCAACTTTGTAAAAAAGTTTCTTGTTCAAAAAATAATTTTACGTTATTAATATTGATTCGTTCTTTGTTTCCCAAAATATGTTGAAGAATAGAGATTTCTATTCACATGACTTCTTCGATATCTTTGTTTTTTAAGAAATTATGCATCATTTGCCTGACTATTCGCTTTGACATATAAACTAACAGCGGCTATATCAATTCGACTGAATGAATTATCATATTTAATACTATTCGATGCATGATAATAAAGTTTAGATAGTGAAAGCAAACACATTATTATCTAGAATTTTGTATACTTGGTTAAGAATAGTTTTTGTAGCTAATCAATTTGAATCTATTTTTTCTTGTATCAATGAAATGACTTATGTTAATAGTAGAAAAATTTCATACTATGGTATATTTCATTCATATGTTACATTTTATTATCTAATAATAAATGAATTTTACAAACAAAAAACAACGAAGTTTTTAAAAATCATTCTCTTTTCATTTTCTACTTATTTGTTGCTGTTGTTGTTGTTGTTGTTGTGTATTTAATTGTTGATTAACAATTGAAGACGTTGCCGACGGTTGTACATTAAATTGCGAATATGCTTGAAATAATGCAGCAGCAGCGGCTGTATTAGCTGCTGTTGAATTTAATGGCGATTGATAAAGCGTTTGTGATGGGACTTGATAGAAATATTGAGAAGGTTGGGAAACAAAATTTTGAACTGTTGCTGATTTTACAGCTGAATTTACTCCTAAAGATGGTGTAACTGAATTATATGATGGATATGTTGCTGTAACAAATGGCGAAACAGAATTAGCTATTCGTATTGGTGGTGATGTATAATTAAATGTTGCTGGTACAGTAGATACTGTTTCAGCCGGGCGATATACGAAAGCAGATTGTGTCTGCTGTTGTTGTTGACCTACTTCTTTTGTATCATTATTTGTTTGTGAAGGAATTTGTTTTTCAGTTTTGATAGTATCGGATAAATTATTTGATGAAGATTTTGTTACAGTAGATTGTGAATTTTTGTCTCCCATTGATGAATTTGATTTGATTATATTTGTTGATAGAATTTGTCGAATTTGTTCAGCAATCGAAGCTGATGTTTCTATTGAAGACGATGAAGTTTTACCAGGCGATGGATTTGATGTTAAACCAAGTCTTGTGTCCGATACAATACCAGAGCCTTTTTAGAAAATAAGATATCCATACCAATGGTACAAATAAATGAACCAATAAATTCAAAAATACATTCATACAAACTCAGAAAAGACACATCAAGATTTCGATTTAAACTCAATCCGTCATGCCGATTAAATGATATATGATATGGTTATATTAATAAAATATAAAGTAATTTCTCTAATCTATCAATAACTTTTCTCTTAATAAAATATGTAATATATTACTACTTGTCGTCGAATATTTTCCTAATAGATATTTTTGTAAAAAAAGATAATATTTCTATTAGAGAATATCTGACTTTGAAAAAAATATTTAAATAAAGCAAAGAGAAAAATCAAAGCACCTGTCTGGTGATTCAATGTTGTATTGATTGCATATTGAGCTGGTAATGGTGGTAAAGTACCTGAAGGTAATGTTAACATTTTCGCTTTTTTTTCAAGTAAATAAACAAGTACACGATCGATTTCTTCTAATGTTAATTGTCTTCCATCAGCTAAAAGACATAGTAACATTGATAATGGTAATTTACCACTAGGATTTAATGCAGATGAAGTTATTTCTTCTTGAGAAAGATTATTTGATGGACGAATATATTCATATGATGAATTTGAATTAGAATAAACAACTGAATTATTATTTGAACGATATGAATCGATTTCTTCATTACGAATACGTTCTTTATATGCAGCAAAATTAGTTATTATTATATGTATACCATCATCCAATGTTAAATTACGATGTTCTAAAATAATTGTATTTTAAAGTTTTTTTCTTCTTTACAATATTTTAATACTTCTTAAATTCAAATAGAATATGAGAGAGAGTTAGAGAGGGGTGTACCGAAGGTGGGCTTTTCTTCATGCTTTTAGATTTTCCGTCTTAATATAGATTGCTATTTTACTAGTTCTATAGTACACGTTCGTTCTGTTAATATATAGCAATAAGTTTTTGCTGGAAAAGATATTTACTAGATACAGTGATGTCTAAAAATAATTGCCTGTCGGTGCAAAAATTTTGTTTTAGATTGTTTCCTGTATTCTTCGAAGGATTATAGATCGATCGGTCATCGTGCATTAGTGAACTAATGAATATTGCGAACCCGCTTGGGAACTACCCGTATGATGAAGAACTCTATTTATACTTGCTAGAATAAAATTTTTCAAAATCTGCACCTAAGCACTGTAATGTATTAAAGCTAATAGAGTGGACTGTCAATCTCAAATAGGCGAAATCATTATCTAACCATCTGATCGCACGAATCTTAGACTAGTTGAATCATTCCACCAAGTCATTAAAAGAATGGAATGAAATCCATGTGTAACCTGTAATTTGTTTAACTGCTTCTATGAAAGTAAACTTTTTTTCCTCTTATGAACTTAAAGAGAGAGCAAACGAAACTTTTTTGTAGAGTATAGTGCCTGTATCATATACCAGCATTAAAATATTTCAATACCTCATACACTTATAATAAAAAGAACTTTGAGAAATCTAACTGCAATTCTTTTTGTATACGATTGTATGTAAATCTTATAAAAAATGATCTAATTCTAACCTTCTGTTTGTCCATATAGAATATGAAAAGATGCTGTACGTCGTTCTTCATGCATTGGCATGGCAATGATTCCATATAAACATTGTAAACGAGTAGCATTGTCAATAGCTTTAGTTAAACTAAGATCTTCTCGCAGAAGTATAATTGATGAAACAATACCATGAGAAGCAAGACGAGATTCAATTTTCTCTGCATATTCTCTATAGCAATAAGATAAATAAATAAATAAATAATTTCTTTTTCTGTAATTTCGATTAATATTAAAAAACCTTTGTCGAAAATTAACAAGAATTATATGACAATCGACACAATCATTTGAATCTTTTGGTCCTGCTAAAACTGAATATGGCATATGATGATTTAAAGATATTGATTCATTTGAAGATCGACGAGAATTCGATCTTGATAATGAAATATGCATACGATCATCAATTCGATCACTAAAAATGAATTGAATTTTTGTCAAAAAAACTAAAAAATGCTTTTTTTTTTATTTTTTAAATAATTACGTTTGTGGAATAAAATTTGATTGATCATGTGTTGAATGCATTTTTCTCGATGGTTCATAATTTAATGATTGACGATGAGAAGTTCGTTCATGACTTCTTAATCATGAGTAAATTTATTTTATTTTTCGAAATCACAAAATAAGAATTACCTTTTCGAAGATCTATCAGTTGATGATGATTTTGCGCTTGTTGATCGTACATCTCTTGCTGGAAAAACATCTAAATTAATTCAATAAATATATATTAATTAATTTTTTTTGTTTAAATTCTTTTGTTTACCAAGTTGATTTCCTTTAAATATCAATGGTATTTGTGCTTCTTTAATTAATTTCTTTGCATCATCAATTCGATTATATTGCACGAATATATGATCTTTAAATACTTGTATATCTAATATATATGTATATATTCGAAAAAAACAATAGAAGAAATTTTTAATTAAAATAAAAAACCTGAAATTTTGCCAAATGGTTTAAAAAAATCTAATAATTCTTCATCAGTAGCTTTTTTAGATGGAACATTGCTAATATATACTTTGGCATCAATATTTTCTCTTGAAAAAGAAAACGAAATAATTTTTTTGAAAATATGAAAAGATTAAATAATTACGATTCAAGATGTGAGCGTTTTCTATTGTATCGATTTGTTTCGTCTTTACTATTACGAGAATCTTGACATGAATTTGTATTTGACGATTTATCATGATCTCGGTGAGATTCCGACATTCTTTACTCAAGATTAATTAAAGAACAACTATACTCAATCAATATAAAGATTTCTCTATTGGATAAATATTATTACAAATCAAATTTTTAATTTTAGCATTCAAATGCATAAATGTGTTATTGATAAATATATAAACAGAAATTCTATTGGATATACAATAGACTTAAATAAATGCTGCTGCTCATATTCTTTGAGATGGAAAAAGAAGTTGAAAGAAACCTTGTAAATGTATATATTAGCGCAATCTACATAATAACATCCTATTCATATTTAATAAACATTTTAATATAGAATTAATCTGTGATGCATAAGTAATAGAGCAAATGTCACTTTTTATTTTTCTTTAATAAAAGAATATTGAAAAGAACGTACTTTTGTGCTAATAGATAGTTTGTTCTCTTTTGTCTAAATTCTAAATGATTTATTATAATTATATATTCATAAGTTTAACAATACAATAGAAAAGAATCTCTAACTGAAATTAATTCTTTTCAAGAATGCATCTCTTTTCTATTTCAAACAATGTGTTGTTATTTATATATTCATTTGAATTAGTCTTGATATATAACAAATAATATTTCAAATTAATTTCTTTTCTTAAGAAACATTCTTTTTATATTAGTTCATAAAATACAATTCTAAATTTTGATTTTTTGTATACATTTAACAAAAAATAAAAAATAATTATTAAATTAAAGAAGGAAATGGACTATTGAATGGATTATCATTTGCCAATAATTTTGCTCTAGTCGCTCCCTGATCTTGTCGATGAATCATATCACAAAGAAGACATTCAACTGTATACTGATTTGATTCTTTAAAATAATCAATCATCTTAACAAAACTTGTCTTTGATTTGAGTTTCCTTCTCCATTGATGAAAATGCATATAACGATATCGATGATCTATAAAAGGTTGAAGATAATTGGCAAGATCAGCTGGTGATTTAAATTTTCTTAAATCAACAATACATGAAGTATTTTTACACGGTAACCATTCATCAATATTAGGTGCACCTAAATAAAGTGGAACACTTCCAGCAGCTAATGGTTGCCATAATTTTTCCGTAACATAATCATGTTCTAAAGTATTTTCAATAGCAACAGTAAAAAGATATTCACCAGCTACAATTAATTTATCTCTCGCTAATACTTTCGGATCAGTATTTGTTAAAGATGAATTATCCCAATTTGGATTTCCACATTTACCACGAACATCAACACGAATATAACGCATTAATTCAAGCATATATCCCGTACGATTTGATGGAGTATCACAATTACTATTCATCCAAAGAATTGGTGCATGATCTAAATAAGAAATATTTATTCATTATAATATGAGTTTGATTGAATCTTCATTTTAGGAAACAAACCTGGAACTTTATGACTTAATACTTGTTGTACTGTTAAACGTTTCGATCGATTTATAAGAAGATCTGCATAATCCAATAAATATAAATCCGAAATAACATCAAAAATTCGTCGATCATATCCAACAGTAATATCAAATAATGATAATAATCGTGTTTTTAAAACCATAGAAGGATAATATCCTATAGATTCACCTTCTAAAGTCAAACCCCATTTTGAATCTTTATCACGATATGGTGCTAAAGCTTGACTATATAATTCAGATGTAAGTGGAGTATAAGCTTCAGCTTGAATAGATGGTTTTCGATTAGGATTAGATAATATTTCTAATGCTGCACTTTTCCGACATATCCAATCAGGTTTAGCTCGAACAGCTAATTTTCCACCACGAAGACATTCAATATTTTGTGTAAATTCATCAGAAATATGTACAAGAGTACACGGAATTCTAAAACAATCTGTTCTACCAAGTGCATGACAAACAGCATTAGCTATTGGACGATATTGTTTAGGTACACGACATAATGTTTGATTACCATGAGCACCGATAATAGCATGACGCCATAGAGTTAGATCAAATATATCCGGTATATATGTTTCACTAAATAAATAACAAAATTTTTTTTTTAGAATATTATATAAACCGGAACTAGAACAAGTACAAATATCAATAGTTTTATTCATGTCTAGATATTTATATTTAATATTTGTAAAGAACAAATATGTTTATCCTACTTCGATAAGAATTTTGATTTTATCTGAATATTTATACAAAAAACTAAACATCTCTTTTTTTTCTGTTTTAATCACCTGATTACTGGTGTTGAAGAAAAATTTTTCACGGATAGTTTTAATGTTGATGTTAATGATATTGACGATTTTAATGATGTTGATGATGATATTGATGTTCGTAATGATGAAGTTAATTGACGTTTCTTTTCCAATGTTTCTAATTGGAACGAATGCGTAGTAGGAAAAATAGAGTCAGTAGATGAAAAGAAAGTATCGTATGGTGTAAAAAACGAATTAATTATTATAATAAATAATGAACACGTAGTAAGAGAAGTGCCAATACGAAATACATAACGTCGCATACGATACATAGTAGTTAACTAACCATGTGTATATGATTTCAGCGTCATGTTCTCCTTCAAACCTTTTTTTTCGTCTATGTTGATATATACACAGACATTGACATGGTCGATCACTCATTACTCATGCGTAGCATACAATATAGAGAAACTATATTAAAAAAAAGGAAATGTGTCACGTTTTTACAAGGCGCCATAGACATAAATGAATCATTGTATAAATTAAATACTGTTTTACTAAAACTTTCTCTTACTAATGATTAGCCTTTATATCTTCTTTCAGCTACAATATTTTATTATTTACATTATAAAAAAATGATTATAATTTCGTTTTCAGATGGATCATATCGGATTTTTATTTGTGTTACTCATAATGAAATGAAACTATATGTATATTTATACAAGAATTAAAACAAATATGAATGAGACGACTTATTCACATATATATGAAGACCGTTTTTTATAAGAAAATTTTGTATAAAAGCAAACATAATAATTATTATTGGTATCGTCCGCGTAATAGAATCAGATAAATAAAAACGTTCAACAGTAACATCATAAATATCGAATATCGTTTGAAGGCCTTATGTGACGCAGTTTATCATTTTAATGTTACGAAACCATTAGTTCTTTCAATGTCAAAAAATTAAGATTCTTCAGTGATATATATTATATACATATATGCATAGTCAGGTTTTTGTACAAAGACATCTACAGATTTTGCACAGCCAAATTTACTCTATTCAGTAGTGTATATAACATCAAAATATGTTGCGTATAATAACAAATGTGATCTCATTTAATTCCGACTTCAATATTCATATCAAAATGGTGTGGAACAAGGTTAAAACTAACTCTCTCGCGCGATGCACAACAGAATTAGGTAATAAAAATTCTATCGAATACAACAAGACCTAGTCTTCATTTCCAATACTTTTATGTAGCAATAAAAAAGATTATTAATTAGTACTTTATACAATAGTCATTTGATAATCAATAAATGTGTATTTATAATTATAATATAAATGAAAAGTTAATCGAATATATTTATTTGAGTTTAGATATCCCTATAAATCTTGATGACTATTATTTTTTCTCTTTACAATCAACATTCTTTATAAGTTCATTTTCGATCATCGAAATCGCAAAGAAAATAAAGAATTTGAAGAGATCCTAAAGATTATTTCCATTTATAAAAACTTGTGTAATGAATAACGTCCTAAAAAGCTTAAATAGTTTGATGATTATCGCAAATGGTCGAAAGAGTTATAGAATGATTTTTCCATCGTATTATAAAAAAAAGAATTACATCTTCGTAAGTATTTATTTGAGTAAATATTGAACTATTTTCATAGAATTTCAACAACAATCAATAGGATTTCATAATAAGTAACAAAACAAACAAATCTAATAATAACAAACTACATAGAAAAAAGAGGTCTTTTATTGAACTATTTAATTTCCATTAGATGTTGCGACATATTTTTGTCCATTTGCAACATGTCCATTAGTAACAAATCGATCAAAAACTGAATATCGTCCAGCAATAAAAGCTGCAATAGGTAATGCTGAATATGCAAAAACAATAGCAGCAATCATTGTACGAGATGAATGAGAATTTAAACGTGCCATTGATCCATATTCAAAAAGACCAGCTGTCATTAATACACAAGCCATAAACATTAACATTGGAATAATAAATCTTCGATTACTAATTTTAAACATATCCCAACAAAGAAATATTCCACCAACTAATAAAAATATTAAACCTAATAGGCAAAGAATAAATACTATTGGCATAAAATTTGATTCGCATTCATTATTGGCACGAGTTGCACACATATAGAAAAGACCCTAAAGAAAAAATAAAGTTTTATTTATTTCAATAAAAAAACAGATAAAACTTACATTCCATTTCCATTCAGTATTTTCCCTCATAAGTATTGTTCCATTCCCTGTTGACATAGCTGTACCTGGTGTAACCATATTATCTACAGTCCAATAGTTAGTAGCTAATGCAACAACACCAAGTATAACACCAACAAATGCAAAAAATGCACCAACAAAAGATAATTTACGATTTAATGGATCAGCAATCATTATTATGTATTTTTCTTAACAAACAAAATTAAATAGAAAAAGTTATAACTGAATGCACTTAAATGATGACTATTATATATGACGAGATATCGATAGATAGAGAGAGAATTAGAGAATAACGAATTTTTTCTTCTTTATCGGTCATTATTTCTTCTCCTATCCAATCTTTAGCGATGTAACACAATGCACGACTATCATTCATACATATTCGTATAGAATCTTAACCGACGGATAAATAAGAAGGAAAAATTATCTATAGATGGATCATGCCCTCGCTACTTTCTCTTAATTCTGTACTTTATCACCCGAACATTATCATCTTAAAAAATATACATAACTGAACAAAGACTGTTCAATATAAAGACCACATATGTATCTAAATTTCTATTAAAAAAATTCAAATCTCTTCATTGTATTTACTGTAGATGTACAAGTTTGTAGCTACAGTTAGCTAATTTACATTTAAAGATATGCATGATGTGTAGGAAAAAAAATACATAAAGGGTTAAGTCTATAATAACTACAAAATAAATTGACTGACATATTGATATTCTTTTTTATTTATTATCAAAATTTCAAACGAATATATTAAATCTTATTACTTCGTTAGCGATTTCTTTTTGATCTATTTTATTCCCTATATATTTGTTTATTTTATCTATTCCTGTGTATTGTTGTTATTCTTTTCTTTGTTAATACAATGGCTACATCTGTTTTATGCATCGTTCATTTCATTTCAGCATATTGGATGTTTCTTACACTACATCCGTGTTATCTCTAATTCATCTATCCATATGATTTAAGTGTATAGAAAGCTACAATATCACTGTCTAGCATCTGCAAATTATTATTTCGAGACAGATTTCTCGATATCTTCAAACTGGTTACAATTGATTGACTGTTCATTTAAAATATAAACATAGAGAATGTTGGAATTTGTAGAAGCAAAAGAAAAGAAAATAAACGAAAGCAGAGTGTTTTTATCGAGTGAACTAATTATCTTTTTTTTGTGGAATTATTCTAGACAAAGAACAACAAACATCTGTCATATATGATGCGAGAGAATAATGTAGATAAGATTGTTTCTCATCATAAATCAATCATCAATTGATGAATTATAATATCGGGAATATATCAAATAAGATAATGATTGTATACAAGTTCAATTATTATTAATTTCAACAATTTTTACGTTAGAATTTAACATCGATTAGTTACAATATGAGTTCACTCAAATTTTCAGGAGGACGATGAACATAAAGTCATATTTTCTAATCATTTATTTTGTTGTCTTTATCTTTACCTATGGATCCATGCAGTTGGAATGACCTTTATATCACTTTATGGATGTGCCTTTCCAATCTACAAATTGATTGGCTTTAATATAAAAAGTAGTATGCGACAGCCTGAATAATCTCTAACATAATAGTACTGTATTTTTGATAAAAATTTGATAAGTACTAGCAATATCCCGAAATTTGGTATGTAGGAAATATGCAGAACTCGTTAAAATTAAATCCTTCATAGAGAAAAATATTCAGACAACAATATACAAATAAGAGTATATATACGAGCTGATATGGAGAAATAAATAAATGACTAACGAATGATCATCTACACATCATGTAAGATATTTGTAAGTAAAACTATAGTTTTTTACTTGAAATAGGTATATTTCACTCTACAAACCCCACTTAATTGCATCAAAATCGTTGTGAGACATTTGGAAATCTTCACTTGTGAAACATAATGATCAATCTAGATAGGTGAATCATCGTTATTTTCTCTTGAATTGTTTTTCATATTTATTGCTGATATAATATGAACATCTTAAACTACCTTCGGAATATGTAATAGAAGAAATCATTCTTTCACCTTTCAACAATTTAAAATTGTCTTGCTAGTTTACAACTCAATCTGACATTTGATTAAATAAATAAACTAAGATTTTTCAGGTTGTGTGTGTCTATCCATAGAACTTTAATCATAATAGATGAATAACAATAGAAATACAAAAAATAACAAAAACTTTATTTTTATTGTTATTATAACGGAATGTCTTTTTTTCTATTAACACATTGAAGAAAAGCTAATCCTCTTAAAAGACATTGTGCCATTGGTTCTTTTTGTCCTTTCTTGGCTTGATGATAAATTGTTTTTAATTGATCATCCATATCTAATGATAATATTGGATTATTTCCAATATTATTAAATATAAGATTAGTTAGAAAAAATTCTGCACTTGATTGTTCATTTCCAATAAATAAACCAAATTGTGCTGCAACATCTCTTCCTGATATATGATAAATAGGACGTTTTGATAACGTATGACAATGAAGTAATGTATTTAAAATTGTACGAATTTGTTGTAATTGTGATATATATGTTACTAATTTCATATTTGGATAACGATATGTTGTTTGTTCAACAAGAAGAACATTTGCATCATTTAATGGAATTGTTGAAAGACTATCAGATAGCTTAAATAAAAAAGTTTCTAAACAAAAAAGAACAAAAAAATGAAAGAATTCAACTAACTTGATTAAATGATTTAATAAAATTATATTTTTTATCTAAATCAACTTCTAATGAATTCCATTGTTTGACTTGAAAATGTTTCTTATCATCTGTTACATTAATAATAGACCAATTGATATGTGATGAAGTATAATCCAGACTACAAACACTATCAATATCCTATATAAGATCCAATTCTATGTGTTGTTTCTTGAGAAAATTTCATTTACGGCAACAAGTTTTGGTGTCAGACGAGGTTCAATATGAATTCGATATTGTTGATCATCATCTCGTTTATTCAATGATAATAAATAACCAAAAAATTTATCAACTAAAAATACATATAAAATAAATTCTTAACAATTGACTTTGAAATTATTTACAATCAATTTGTAAGTTCGATTCTTTTTTGAATTGTTGTATAGAATGAAATTTTCCACCAAATAAACGTTTTGATTGAAGAAAATCTTTTGTTTGTTGTTCAGTCAATATCTTCATTAAATCTTTTGATTTAATTTTATTAAGTTCTTCAATTAAATTTGTTTCTATCGATTTCAATCGAAATAAAACATTGAAATTTATTCTTGGAACTAATAAACGTGAAAATAACATGAGAAGAAAAACGAAAAAAACAATCTGGAAAGAAAAGAAGAAATGATACGTTTTTTATTTAATGTTCTTCTCGAAATCAGATTCATAACAAAAATCTTATCCGTAAGTTCTTTTTTTTTGTTTTGGTTTCGAAAGAGAATATAAATATGAAATAACAACAAATAAAATAAAGTTTTACTCGATTATTTTAAGAACTTTTCCAACAGCAACGGTTCGACCTTCATCTCGTAGTGTAAATCGACCAAGTTGAGGAAAACGTTTAAATGGTTCCATACAAATAGCTTGACCTGTTTGGGATAATTCAAATCTAGCTATAGCAACTTGATCTTGTTTGATGAATCGTGGATGTTCTTGAGTTCTATCACCTGTTTTACGATCAATTAATGTTATTAATTTTTTTAATTGAACTTCAACAGCTGCTGCGTGAAGATGAAGAATAGCTGAATAGCCAGGACATATAATTGATTTGTGTTCAATAATAGCAACCTATTTTACAAATAAAATCTGTTTTATTTCGAGCAACTTGATTTCATTGTTCGTATTTTATAATCTATATCAAATTATGGTTCATCAAACTCGTACGTGACTGTTGATGTAGAAAATATTAAAAAGCATACTGACTTGCCAAAGGCATTCTAATACAATCATTGTCTACTTATTTCTTATTAGAAATTATATCACTATAATCTATGAATACTTCTATAGACTAGGTTTTGTTTTGTTTTTGATATTTACTTGTGCATCAAATACTTTTCCTACGCCACATGGTTCTTGTTGAGTATCGCATAAAATAAATCCAGGCGATATTTCCTATAAATATATATATTTGAAATGTTTAAAATACAATAATATAAAATAACGAACTTCTTCTTCAATATTTTTCAATTTTAATCGAACATTTTCTCCACAAACAGCTGAATCAGTTTCAATTTCTTCATAATAGATATTTGTTACCTCAACACGATGTCGATTTGGCATTACTATACATCGATCACCAACTCGACAACATCCTGATTCAATTTTACCCATTATAATGACACCCATTTCCTACATAACACAAAAAAACACTCATATATTATTTTCAAATCTAATAAAATTACAAACTTTATATTTTTCGATAATAGGCATTCGAAAGGGACCATCAATACTTCGATTAAATGATGGTAAACTCTCCAAATAGTCAATAAATGTTGGTCCTCTATAAATAATAATAATAATAATAGTAGAAATATTTTTATAATTATTTTTATTCAAAATACTCACTTATACCAAGGTAAAAGTGCTTCTCCAGGATGTTCTTTAAGTAATGCTCCGCTCATTCCACTACAAGGCATAAAAATAGTATCTTCGCCAGGTTTAAAACCACACTTTTTAAGATATGGTGTTAGTTTATCTTTGATTTCTTCGTATCTTGTTTGATCCCAATTAACAGTTGGATCATCCATTTTATTAATAAGAACAACTAAATAACGAACACCAGCTGTTTTAACTAACATAGCATGTTCTCGTGTTTGTCCACCACGTTCAAAACCTGTTTCAAATTCACCTTTACGAGCTGATATAACCTATAAATATATTTTTATAAATTGAAAATAAATGTCAAAAGAAAGCAAAAGAAATAAATTACAAGAATGGCAATATCAGCTTGTGATGCTCCACCAATCATATTTGGTACAAAACATTTATGACCAGGTGCATCAAGAATAATGAAATGTTTTTTTTCAGTTTCAAACCATGCTCGACCAACTTCAACTGTTTTACCCTTAGCTCTTTCTTCTTCATTAGTATCTAATGCCCATGATAAATACCAAGATTCACGAGATTGTTCACGAGCTTCAGTTTGATATTTCTCAAGTGTTCGTTTATCAACTTGTCCTGTCAAAAACCTAAGAAAAATAATATTTATTATTGAATATATTTTATTTATAAAGAAAAACAAAATATATTACATAAGTTGACCACCAATAGTTGATTTTCCAGCATCAACATGACCACAAAAGACGATGTTTAAAGGTTCCTTCTTTCGTATAATATCTCGTTTAACAATAACGGCAGCAGGTTTCTTTTCTTTTGGAACGGCTGATCCACTGGTTGTGTTTGATTTATTCATTGTTGTTGTATCTGTAGATATTCCTAGACATGGCAACATTAAAAGATATACATATGAATGAATTAAATTAAACTAACTTTCGATGTCTTCTTCAGGAAGATCATTATATTCTCCTTCTGCTACAATATTAAGTGATTCTTTGACTTGTTGAGCATTTAATTCATGAGTTTTAGCCATTGGTTCCGGTTGTTTCTTTTCCTCTTCAGTTGTACTTCGGGGAATAACTGGTGTCGGTGGAGGTGTTTTAGGTACTACTACTGGTTGAGGGGCAGCAACCGGAGCTTTTGGAGCCATTGAAAATGCAGGACCAAAATTAGGTACAAATTCCGTAGCGTTTACATTTAATTTGCCAAATTTATTTAAAGCTGCTGCTAATGCAGAATTTTCATCATCGTTTTGATCCCAACTTGCTGGTGGCTCGGCCATTATTTAATAATCACTTTGTATTGGCTTAGAATTAAATATATATATATATACTAAAATGACTTACGAAAGAGAAGCAAGATTTATTTGCGAAAGAAATAAACTAATGTAAGAATCGATATGATTCATTCAAATATATTTTGTTGGTTAGTTAGAATCAACCAATCTTTTATGTTGCTCGTGTCTTGCCTTCCTTTTGTACATTCAATCAACAGATGGCATAATTTGAACTCAACATATCTGGAAAACTTCTTGAAAGTAGCACACATAGGAACGAGATTTATGAATCATCAAATAAATATAAATAAACAAAACGTACTACTACTACTACCACTACAGATGACGCTGGATATTCTTATAATAAATTTTTAATGTTGATATAATATTTTTATCCATGTCAAAAATATTGATGTATTCTTCTGAATATATTTATTTACTTTTGTTTGTATACTAGAAAAAAAGAGCAAATTCTAATTCTTTCAATATCCATTTATTGATACGAGATGAGAAATTCTTTGAAATTTTTTCTTTAAAATATTCAATTGAACGAAAATAAAACTATCAGTGTAAAATCATTTAATAGATCATTCAAATATTTTTATTTATTTATTCGTTATAAAATTGTATTGTTAATGTATCAAGTTTTAATTAACACTAACCCTTTGAAAATGGGCGATGAGTATAAGCGTCATAGGTGCTAAGGTTGTTGAGTTCTGTAGATATCAACTATCTATTTATTGTTGTCTCATATTACAGTACAATTACGGAACTTATTATATACATACTTGTGATATATCTCGAAGGATAAATAAAATTAGTTTTAAATAAATAATCAATTATTTCAGAAAATAAGCTCTTCATTAAAGGATTAATTTACTTTGATCTATTTCAATTAACTATTCTCATGTAATGCTCAAGTATATAACTTATTTAATATTTTGTATTATCTCTAAATCTCTTTTGATTCCAATGTTCCATATGGACGATATTTCTTGCGCGTGAAATTACGTAATCATATGCAAAAGGTCAAACAAGATCGCTATCCAGTTTATTGACTGAAAAGAGAACAGAAACTAATAATAATATCAGATCAATGAATATTGACATGAAGTTAGTAACAATAGAATACGACACCAAACAATGAAATATATTTTGTATGATATTTAATGAAAAGATTTCATATTTTAACAAATATATGTTACGTCTGTCCTTCATGTAAATATCAATTTAAAAAGGACATTTTCATTTCACATCTGTTAGTGATTACACATAACTTTCAAGAACTTCAATAATTATTAGAAAATATTTGTAAAGATTGTCAATGTTATAATTCATGAAATAAGCGAGAAATAATATCAAGCATTCATTACTGTGTATATTCAGATAAAAATAATATTGATTTATACGTCATTAAATACTAAGTGTTCAGAAATCTAGGAAGTTTTATTGAAGAATAATATGCGAGACAGTTATATGATGAAATATGAATCCTATAACAGTTGTTATTAAATATAATAAACCTTGATGAAGAACTATAGCAGGTCATAATAGATGATAAGTACACTATTAACTAATGGCATAAGTAAATTGTCATATGAGAAAATAAACAGTAAATATATCTACTTCATATGATAATTGTATATTATCATATAATCAATTTAAGAAACCATATGATCACTATACTTAATCTTGAGGGTTAATCTAACCTTAATATTTCATAAACATCATATCAATATTCAAGGTAATTGATAATAACCGAAAATATGTTAAACTAATGGATTAAGATTTTGTCGCAATGGTATTATACAAATCGGTAAATCTATCTTTTTTTTAAAAATTACAAATTGAAATAAACCCTATAATTATAATAATTTATCTATAGAAAATTTATTTTTCTAAATATTGCCTAAAGTGTTCGTTATTCCTTAAAGCGCAATAGCAATCATATTTTCAATGGGTCTAGTCTATTTCAAATTGTATTCACAATAGTATTCATTGAAAAAGTAGACAAATGACCGCAAGAGAGCGGCAGATAGATGTTTATGTAATAAGAAATTGAACAGACCAAATCATACATTTATTTTTCTATATGAATATGACCAATGAAACTTATGTCTTGTATGATGATGAATGTTTAGCGACATGTGGTGTAACTCTTACTAATGTAAAATACAAAAACAGCTATTACGATAGTTTATTTTCTATACTAAAATGATATGAAGAAAATAATTCCCTACAGTTTTTACATTTGATTTTATTTTCAAGTAAATCGATTATGTCTGAATGAACAAAATTTGTAAAAATGCATTAGTTTTATATCATAGAATATATAAATGCAGACGTTTTTTTTTATTATTTATCAACTACGGATCATTTGATAATTTAATGTAATTTGTAAAATGTGGAAAATGAAATAAATAATTCTCTCTTTTTTTTCTGTTCACTTGACACAAATGCAAGAAAACAAAAAAAGCTACAGTATAACCATTGAAGGTTGATCAATAGTACTAGAAATTGATACAGTTGTTGTTGATTGAGATTTAATTCGTTTAAAATAATGTTGTTGTATCATTCGTTTTAATTTTTTTCTTTCAAATGATGATTGTTGATCATATTTATATGCTAAATAAGGTTTTTGATTTAATTCTTGATGATTTTCTCGAAGAAATATTCGATTTAATAAATTAAAATCTTCTGTTGCTGAATCGGAAAATGGAGTTATTGAATGTTGTTGAAAAAATTTTGCACGTTCACGATATTGTTTAGCTTTAGCTAGATGTTCTTTTCGTTGTTGTCGTGTCCAATAACGTCCTTGTTTTAATTCACTCATTGGTTCATCATCTGTCGTTTGATATTGTTCTTTTAAACGTTGTTCACGATATCGTCGTCGAAAATGTTTAAGTGTCCATTGATTTTGATGAGGATGATGTCGAGAACGATATGAATCATTTGATCGAGATCGACCACATACTAAACCACTATCACTATTATCTCGACATTCTATTTTTAATAGGAAGAAATAAAATAAAATAAAAAAAAGAATAGAAAAGTTTTTTTGTTTACCAATTAGTTTATGTTGTTGATGATTATATGGAAGAGGTTTAAGAATAACTTGTTCATTATCGGTTGTTGTTCCAAAAATACTTTGCGAATGTGCTAGTTGTTTTGATTGACTGAGTTTTTCTTCAAAAAATGAACATGGTCTAAGATCATTTAATGATAAACACCGACGATATTGAAATTGACGAGCATATGATTGATTACGTCGACAATTCGAACAATGATTTAAGGCAGTTGAAGATAAACTAATACAACTTTTTAATAGATTATAACATTCATGTGAAGATTTCTAAATGAACAAACGTGTTTTTTAATTCATCGAGAAAAAGAATAAAAGTAGTACTTGATGTAACCAGTCATGTGTTGTATCAAAATCTGTGTTACATGCAAGTATAACACCACTATCATCTTCTGTTAATGGTATTTCTGATGGAATTGTTGAAAAATTTGGTGTTGAAAACTATTTTTTAAATAAAAAATTTCTGATAAATGTATATCTGTATATGTAAATAATTTACTTCAAATCGAACGATTTGTAAAAGAATACGACAAGCACCATTGACAAGATTGATTGCTTCGTCTCGACTTGTAACACGATGATTGTTTATTTTAATAATTTGATCACCGCTTCGAAGTTCACCCTGATGACCTGCGATACTCTCTTTATCAACCTATTCAATCGATAGTTATCATTAGATGAGAGAATACACAAAAAAGAAAAAAAAAAGAAATGAAAAATGATCTTTACTTGCTGAATATAAATATTAGTTGTTGATTTCGATGTTATACCATAGCATAGTGTTAAACCTAATCTTTCATTTGGACGATTTCGACGAAGAATTATATTCTAAATTATACATCATTCATTTGTTTTCTATGACATTTACATAAAAAAATCGATTAGTTTATTATTTTATTAAAAAGAAAAAGACTATCAGTTTCCGATCTCAAGAGTATAATACAAGGTCGACTAATTCAATGAATGACAATTCAATGATTGAAAACAAAAAGAAAAAAAACTCAGCAGGTGATCATTTTCTCGTCAGATCATTCAAGACATTGATTAGTTATCGAAATATATTGTATTGTATGGATGTCTTGACTTTTTTTTTTCTTTTGTTATTCAATCAATTGACATGATGAATACCCCAAACAAGAACAAGAAAAAAATAAAGAACTTACTTTTATTATAATTCCATTATTTAATATAGATGAAGATCGTTGAGATAAACGATGATCAGCAAAAGAATTCAAGGATGATTCAAGAGAATATTTATTTGTTTGTTGTATATTTGAATTTTCATATTTAAAAGATTTTCTTATACTAAAAATAGAAAATTACTTAAATAGTATGGCTTCCATTTTACAACATAAAAGAAAGGTGAAGAATAGTTTAAGGGGGAATATCTTTATCTGATAAATACTAAAGACGTAATCATTGATATATACATGTATGTTAGAAAAAAGGTCAAACCTTTGTTTGAATTAAGTGTATATTATTATTATTATTCACTTTAGGAAAATTTCAATATCATAATACTTTTCATAAGTTGACCTTATATTTTATTTCGTTCAAGTAATTAACATTGACTTTGATTTCAATGTTTATATATTATATCTAATAAATAATGTTCATTGTACAACGGCATCGTTACGTTTGTTTAATGGTCGTTCAAATAGTTAAGAACAAAATGCAATGTACAACTTCATAGATGTATATCAGTATAATAAAAAAAAAAGTAAATTGCTATTTATCAAAGTCATTGTCAAGTGAAATATGTCGCTTCTTTTCTCTTTCTTATATTCGTCAAGGTGACTTGTCCTATTGAACAAATACATTGCGTGACCCCTTATCTTTTTCTTTTTTGGTAAAGCCATATGCATACATTTACCTGTTCTGTTGTTGAATCGTGTAATATGGTGATGCGACATTGACATAGTGTTGGTGATATGGACTGATAGGCGTTGGTTCGCTACGATTAATGACTTTGCTATTTGAACTAACATGGTTCATAATGCCTTGTTGCTAAACAATTACCATATAAAAAAGAAGAAAAAAAATGTCACAATCAATTATTAGAAAAAACATATCGTATAATTGAAAAAAAAGAAGACAATACTATAGTATGATAAAGATCATATGTATAGATCAAACATGTATAACATCATTGTTTTCACTAATAAGTGTTCTAGTTAATGATAGACAGGTCGAATAATTGTAGTAAAAGAACTTAATTTATTGAATTATTTTGTAAAGGGTAGATGAGAATTAGTGTCAAATAAGTTTCTTTTTTTTCCCTTTCTCTCATTCTCGTTACATTTTTCTGTCACTTTCAGTTGTCATCGAAAATAAAAAGATGAAATTAATATAATTGACATAACGGATGTTGATGAAAATTTAGTCTAGAATAAATGACAAGTTTTGCATTAGATTGATCATCAAATTGATGGTAAGAAAACAGTAAGAACTAGTGAAGCGTAGAACATCTATGGCCGATTAGCAGCATTCCGCCTTGCATCTAAGAACATGACATAATTATCGTTCTTCCTCGTGCACGTTCACACATAAAGCACTTAATGGCATCCTACCATCACTATATCATGTCCACAGGCAAATATGGACGTATGCGTGAAGATGTTTACACGAGCTTAGTAAGCTATTGTTCATATTCTCATTTTATACAAGCTCAATTAACTAACTTGAAGCTATTTTATTTCGATGGCATAATCAAGCATCCTTTTCTAAAAAGTCAATTTGTAATAGAATTTCTTTTTTTAATTTAATGTAGGCTTCTTATAATATATATGATTAAGTATACATAAGAAAGAAAACTCGTCAATCAATTCATGTTCATCATTGAGTAACTACTGCTTTTTTCTCTCTCTCTATATTCGATATTTTATATTATAAAACAGATCATCGATTGTCTCAAGTGGTTTAGTCATGATCGGTGATTATAAATTTCTTTTTTTTTGTATGTCTATGTTGAAATTTCCCTTGTGTAAAAAATCAATAAGACTTACCCGAGACTTGAACTTTTTCTTTTTCTTTTCCGATGAAGATTCATTTGAACCACAAACAAGATAATTTAGTTTTAAACAACAATTATCGATAAAAAAGCTCATTTTGTCTTTGTCTCCTTGAAGATTGCAATCAATAAGGATTTAATACAAAAGAAATTGGTGCTTGTGAAATGATTCGACGTTCTATTTGTGTATATATGTGTATGTTGGCCAAGAACGCCAACGATTATGTGCACAGACACCGAACGAGCAGAAAAAGAGAAACAGCTCCTTTTTTTTCTTCTCTCTTCTTCTCCTGTCGTAGACTGAGTATCGAGAAGGAAGAAAGAAGAAGGATCTATGTACTTCGGTAGAGAATAAGCTAAATATTTGTTTGTATATTGATAGTGTTATATCTTGTGTCGTTTTTTCTTCTCATATCTGATCAATAATGAATCAAGAAACGCGACGATCGTCATTGCCATATTATACCTGTTCTGTCTCTAACGTTATATTTACCACAAGGATCAAACGAATAAAGAAAGACACATACGTATGTTGTCTTATTACATATGACATGATAACAGCTCTAAATGTTAGGTATGACAACAACATCATATGTGAACCCGAAGAAAGAAGTGACCTTCATTAATAATTAGTTACACACATATTCAGTCAAAACCTTCTGTCATATACTATCAAAGATTATATCCTTAAAGATATTACATTTTATGAATATATAAACAGCATATCTTTTATGTCAATCCTTGCTTAAATATATCATATTGATTGATTTTGTCATTATTGTATTGATATTAGTCGTTTAGAATAACCTCGTTTATTATTAAACAGTTTATGATACATTAAACTGATTCATTAATCTAAACTATCAGTGTAATTATTTACTTTGAAGAAAAGAACGATAAAAATAAAATGAATCAATCTGTTATCAATTATTGATATCTCATTGATCAAATGTAAAAGTAACATACATGATAACATAAAAATTAAGAAATATGTTAAACACAACAAAAAAAAGAAAAAGCTCATTTTCTATATCATTTAATATGAACAAAACAATAATGTTCTTTACTGTACGGATCACATAATCTATTGAGCGGATAAAAGTCAGCTGGTGAACACATGTCAATATTATTTCTTTCTTTTTTATAGACAGCTCTCATCAAGTGTTTTTGTTAACATAAAAATTGTATAGATGTCAATATTTTTCTATAAAATAAAATTTCTTACCATAGATTAGTTATTAGTATATTATATTTCATAATCAGAATGATTAATTACACCATTGTTTAGTTAATAGTTTGATCGTGATACGGAAATTAAAGAAGGTCATCACGTCGTCAACAATGCAATATCTTGATATAATTATATCCACTGCTAAACATTAATCAATATATATATATATATATACCTTTTGAAATCTCTATAGTCATCTCTTTTGTTAAGTAATAGATTTGTTATTGTTATTATTCAGATTAAATTTGATCGAATAATAAATATGCTTATCATGCGCGCAGATGTTCAGATCATGCCTACTGTGCTTATCTATATTTATCATTAATTTTATTCCTTGACATTTCGTCTATATCCAATGTTTGAATATGATTATTTGATTTACTCGTAGTTTTTTTTTGTTTTATTCAAAAGGTTGATTCGAATGTTAAAACTTATTAATCAATAACTAACTATAGCATCGAAATGATTGTACTAGTACGAGAAAGAGAAAGATATGATGAGCTTGTGATTTCTGATGAATAACTGAATCAATAATCGATGGTTAAATATCGGTCGAGATTCTTCAAAACTAATATTGATACATATCTTTCATAAATGCTAAACAATCTTATGAGGATGAGAAAATGATTATATAAAATTATACAGTATGTTTCCGTAGAGTTATCTATGCATTATTTTAAAGATTTTGATGAAATATTCGCATTGATATTGTAAGACCATCTTCATTTTTAGTAAAAATCGAGAACCGTTATAATATTTGTCATTACATTGATAGGTGATGATATTTGACCTTGAAAATAATTTTGATGAATGATTATTTTTTCTAAGCAGTTGTGCACATGATTTATTTACTAGTATTCTTCGATTGCAATAACATGTTGGATAAGAAATCCAAGAAAGAAATATTAATTTGCAATTTTTTAGATGATGTATGTTGTCAAAGACATAAAGTGACACTTCGACGATGAATTATAGAATATTCTGAAGAGTCTTTTTTCAAACTTTGCTTCTTATCAGTAATCAACAGAACTGAATCAATTTTTTTTACATACTACACATAACATAATGTAGAATTAAAAGACGAAAGAGATTAAGTATTTTCAGATGTTCATAGTTGCCAATTGTTCGATGAATAAATCTGACAGATATTCGTTGATATTTATTGTGAATAGAAAGTTTAATTGTAGCATGTAATTCTTCATAATAACATCGATTCTGTTAACAAGCAAATTTACGTAATAATTTCTTCGTATGCACACTCTGTATAGTCCTTGAACACTCTCAGTGGTAAAGTTTATACTATTCTATTTCTTGAGGGTGAGAATATGAGTGTCTATAATTTATACACATCCACTCCTTATTATGCTATCTTCCTAGCGCCCTAGATTGTATTTCAGGTCCTTCATATATATAGTTTATTATTGATCTGCTTGAGCAATCATTCGCTAATAGGTTTTTTAGAAATTGATGGTATGTGTGTGGTTGATAATGAAGTGAACATCCATATCCACATCCTCATCCTCAAGATAGCTATTCTTTTGTAACATTCCAAAGCACCAATAGCAACAAAAACCAAACGAGTTTTGTTACTACTTACATTCGTCCTTTGCATTTCTGATCATATTATTAATTTTACTGGCTAAAACTTATGTTTTCGCTCCTCTACCCATTGAACTAATCTATCATTCTACTATTGTGCATAATAAAATAATGTTTATATCTTGTCAAAGACAAATTTTTTATTTAATTTTCTAAATAAATCTCTTGAAGAAGAGTAGAAAATTTCGTAAATGTATTCATAAAATCAATTCGAAAAGCTTTCTGTTTCGTTTGATCTTGTAGTTCATATGTATTAGTTTTATTTAATTCCATATCAAGTAATTTAATTAATATCGTTAATTTATCTTGTGAAATTTGTTGTTTAAATAAAAATGTTTCATAATAATAAACAAACAACCAACATGAAAGTATTGTACGTAAATTAATATTTTCAATAAAACAATAATCAACTTGATGATTATTTTTATAAATTAAAATAAATATTTTTTCAATAATATCTGATGAATTAATATGTATTAAAGATGTTTGTTGATAAAATAATTGGAGAAGAATATGTCCAAATCGATTGATTTGTTGTTTATTATCAAATAAAACTAATGATGAATGAATATTTTGAAAAAGTTTTATTAATTCATTGGAAAGATTTGTTAATTGTTCAAGAAAATGTTCTTGATGATAAATATTTTGTTTCGATGGTTTACCATAAATAACATTATCACGATCCATACCAAGACGTTTACATTTATCAAAACGACAACTTGGACAATTATTACGATTTTTTATATTGATTTCACATCGATTTGGTGAACATGGTGATGGGATTGAATAAATTGAAAGACTTGTTCGACGAAAAAATGCTTTACATGCTTCACATGTTGATACACCAAAATGAATACCAGATGCACGATCACTACATACAAGACAATGATCGCTACGAGATATTATTAAAGATGTTAAATTATTCATATTCGATTGATCAGCAACTAAAAGATGTAGACGTCTTTAACTATTTAGAGAAAACAAAAAGAGAGACTATTACCAGGAGTAATTGAAGGATTTGTATAGATATTATCAGAATAATCATTGGTTGTAATTGGATAAGAATTATTATTTGATCGAAATGATGAAACTTCTGATAATGGATAAGAATAAATTGGAAAATATGAATTTCGATTGAACATTTCAAATGATGAATCCATTTATCTAAAATATATATTCAACAATAAATAGTTTATCGACACTTTTTCATCGTATTATAATCTCATTTAAATATATAGAAATTAACATGAGAAAATTTGTTTCATTATGAATTGCTATTAATCATATGTTAAAAGCTTATTGTCAAGATGATATTTTTTTTATTATCTATCATTAATAGAACTAATAATAATAATGATTTTGTTTAGTTTATCTATCATTATTTTAAATAGCTAACGAAGAATCTTTTATCGAAAACTACGCTATTAAATTTATGATGTCTAGTGATAAAAAGTGATTTTTATATCATACTGACCGCAATTGTTCACCAACTGTACATTCTTATTTTCAATAGTGTCACAATAAATCTTCTTAACTGATGAATAACATTCAATTCTCCTTTTTTCTCTACTTGTAGAATTACACCTGCTCAATGAATAAATATGTTTTCATTTTTCTTTGTTCAAAGAAAGTAATAACATCTGCAGAAGAAAAAAAAGGCGATGTCTTTTTTTCCAATAACTATTTTATTTGATTCATTTTCTAATTTTTTTCTTACCTATTTATTTTGTTGCTTATTATTTACCAAGAAATGTTTGTAAATTGAACCTTTTTAGGATGTATCTTTTACCTAGTCATTCGGTCAAATGGATATATCAATCGATGCACTTTTCTTTTCAAATCCAATGAGAAAAAGAAGAAGAGAAATAAAACAGAGAATTTATCTCTCTCACTCTCTCTCTGTTTCTCCCACTGTTTTATTATGTTTCGATGATTTATGATCCTTTTCCAAGTGATCGATAAGATCATTTTTTTTTCTCAACTTGTCGTTATATGGATAGAGAGAGAAAGCGATGTATTCTTCAATTGATGACAAATATTTTAACTGAAAAAAAAATGAAATAACAACAACTATAATTTGTTCATTCGATTGAGCACGACATTAAGAGAATAACATTTGAAATGATTGATCTTATCACGAAAAGAGATTAAATCAATCCATAGACTAACTAATAGTCTCTCTCTTTTATTCATTACATGATTCTCTTATACAATAACATTCAAATAGAAATATATTAAAAACAGGTATAAGAAGGATGGGGATTTGGAAACAAAATGAACCCTTCCAACGTCACCATCACCATCGCTCGAGTCTTTTGTGGTCGAAAACGATCCATTTAGTATTACACGGATTAAGAAACACTTTAGGTAATAAAATAACATTAATTCAAGGATAAATGTTTTTGAAGGTTTGTTGATTCTGTTATATCTATTAAAAACTAGCATATTGCTTTTCTTTTCAGATTATATACTCATTAATAAGAAATTGACTAAAAACAACATTGATGAAGTTATCTTGATAATCGATTATAATTATGTGACTGTCATTATTATAGACATTATGTTATTAATCATTTAGAAAACGTTATTGTCCGCAGTAAATAAATGATTACGTATTATCAATATATTAACACACAGGTAAAATTAAAATTTGCCTTGATCAAAATAGAATCAAACGAATCTGATGTCATTGAATTATCATTTATTTCTTAGCTATACGATCCTTTTTTTTGTAATATATTAAACAGTCAGTAAAAATAATACTAGAAGTTCGAATGGTAGTTATTCAATGGCTGAATTGTTTTATTTAAATATTCACTTGTCATTACAATACATAAGTTGAATTAAATATAACTTCTTCTTCTTCTTCTTCTTTTAGTATTGTTGATATAAATAAAAAGTATTTCTATGGATTGTTTAAGCTTTGTTTAACAATTGTATTTCACTCTCATAATAAATCCATGGATAAAGAAATTCTTATAGACAAGAAAGAAAAAAAGAGTTTGCTATTAATCAATTAAGAAATGCAGAAGACAAGGCCGGAGCAAAGCGAGAAAAAAAAAGCACCTGGAGAGGAAGAATGAACCATTAGAAAAATATTATATACACAGAAAGTGAAAAGAAAGAACGAAGAAAAAAGAGAAAAAGTCAAAAAATGGAATGACAATAGATTGAGTTCAGCACCACCTAATTTACCATTCATTAACATAATCAAATCCTGAAAAATGTTCTTGATCATCATCACGAATTGGACGAGGATCTTTAGCTGGTGTTAAGATTGGTTCTTCTGATGTAAATTCCGTATCAAAATTTGACACATCATCAGGACTTCGCTAGAAAAATAGACAAAAAAAACATTTAATAAAATAATATTTCTATAGAAATTAATACAAACCACAGTAGGAACAAAAGGTGGTTTGATTTTTTTTGAAAGTAAATCATCCCAAATTAAATTCTAAGACAAAAAACAGTAACTCATATATATATATTGATTAAAATTAATTTACTTTAAAAAAAGATTGTCGTTTAACATCAGCAGCATCATGTTCACCAGCACCTAATCGATGTGAAACATTTTTACGGAGTAACTTTAAAAAGAAAATATTAAGAATGAAAAAAATGAAAATATAAAATTATACTCGTTTCATAATAGTAATAGATTCTACAGATAAAAATTTTGGATATTTGACTTCATCATTTACAATCGAATCAAACACTTCTTCTTCGTCATCACCTGGAAACGGAGATTCTCCAACTAACATTTCATAGATTAAAACACCTAAATAGAATTTAAAAAACGAAACTTTTGATAAAAATAAACAACTTTATAATTACCTAAACCCCACCAATCAACAGCTCGTGTATACGATGATTCAGTAAGTACTTCAGGTGCCAAAAACTATAATGAGAAATAATTTTATTACATGATTTACAATATGGAACTCATATGTATTTTCGTATTGTTATTCTTATAGAAAAATATGTGAAGTCATAAAGAAAACTCTAACAAGCAATAATTGCTTTTTAACAAGACATATTTTTTACGTAAACCATCTGTTATATTTTCTGTAAGATAGAACGAGTTTCTTATTTCCTAAAATTGACAGCTGATACGTGATGATTTATCTAGTCAGTCGACGTCATTTACTAAATAGCTTACAGAAAATATAAATTTAATGAGAAATAACAAATAGAATTTGAATAGTTTCAATCAAAATGTTTGATAAGTATTTTAAACATGTAAAATTCTTAATCTGACAGGTTTTAACAGCTGAACAAATTTATACTTATTAATTTTCTTCAAAACAGGATTATATTTACCTCAGGTGTACCACAAAATGTACTTGTCGTTCCACCATAACCAATACCTTCTTTACAAAGTCCAAAGCTGAAATAAGATATGTATAATCATGGTTTTAAAGGAAAGAAAAAAAATCATACTCAGCAATTTTAAGATAACCTTCACGATCCAAAAGTAAATTATCAAGTTTAAGATCTCGATAAACAATTTTATGTGAATGTAAAAATTCTAAGCCTAATACAACACAAGCAGCATAAAAACATGCACGTTGTTCATCAAAAACATCTTGATGTATATGCATCATAAGATCTCCACCAAATGCATATTCCATAACAAATATAACATGATCGCGTGTTTGAAAACATGAATAAAGATTGATTAAAAATGGATGACGACTACGATTAATTACTTCAAAGATTCGTTTTTCTGACATTAATGATTCAACTTCATCACGTGCTAATATATCACCTTTTTTCAATACTTTTAATGCATAATAATCTCCACGACGAGGAAGATATTCGGATAATATTACTTTACCAAAATGACCTCGACCTAATACACTAACAAGACGAAATGCATCAATATGAACACCTTTTGGAAATCTAAATAATAAACAGAATTCAATAGGGCAATTTAAAAAAATAGAAAAAAACAAACCGTGAATCAGGTATACTAAGAGATTTATTTCTTGGTGGAACAATGTCTTGTAATTGAGCAATATTTGTTGATATTTGATTCATTGAAGATGATCGATTAAATTTTTGAGATGGTTGTCGTTCAGTATGAATTACATTTGAGCGTGGAAGATCATTTGTTGAGTTATTTTCGTCAGTAGATTGAGCATAGGATGTTTGTGAAGTTGATGGTGGAATTATAGCTGTTGCTGCAGCTGCTGTTGTACTTGTTTGTCGTGGCCATGATGGTTTTGGAGCGACGGGTGGTGGTGGACCTTTTAAAGCATTTTTATTTTTATCATTTATTATTGATGAACCATTCGTTGGCATTTCATTTGGGATTGAAATTTGTTTTGTTAAATTATTTGGACGAACATAATGAGTTTGAGGAGGAGATGTATCCTAGACAAGAAAAACATAAATCATGTTAACATTCCATTAATAATCTTTAAAACCTAGACAAATGCCCGGAAGGAGTTATAGACTGATTCGTTTTGACAAGTCGAAAAGAAGCTTATTTCCTATGACAGTCCCTCGTCTTTCAAAAACAAATTCTGATTGCGCTACTGGTGAAATTAATTATTGAAAGAATAATGATAGTCTAGTACGAATAGTAAATATATATATATACATCATCAAATTGTGAAAAAGTTGGACTAAATGGACCAGTTTCCGATGGACGTGTTCCTTCCGTTTGCGTCATGTCATATTGAGCATAATGTGATGGTGTTGGTGATGTAGGAAGTGATGATGATACTGTCGAATTTCCATCATAACAATTCGGTGTTATAACACCTTTTGTTATTAATCGATACCACAATGTTACATCAATACGCATATGTGATGGACGTGGTAAATTTTTTCCTTTAATTACAAATTAAAAAATGATAATTTATTTATGAGGTAAAAAGAAAAGAAAAGAAAAAAACCTTTTCGTTTTGTAAATAATTTTTTTTGTCGTTTTAATTTTGGTGCAGCTTTAACTAATGGATTGATAAATTTAATCTATTAATGACAAAAGAAAAAAAGCTATTAGTTAAATGAACCAAAAAACTAATTAAATATAAAACGAACGTCAGCAAAAAGAACCCCTTGTGGTTCTAAATGAATAATCATTCCACTAATTTCATTATTTGGATTGATAAAATCTTCTAGTCGAAGAAAACGTATAGCACACATATTACGATAATCACGCCAGAATATATTTATTTCCAATTCACGAGCCTATATATAATTCATATATTTCATAGAAAAATCAAATTCAATTCTTACTCGATCAAGTTCAATTGTATAACGTTGATCCCAAGCTTGTTGACTACATGGTCTATAACCAGTTTCTACACTTCGAACATTATCCACACGTAGTATAGCATTGATTTCATCTTAATAAGAATAAAAAAACAAAATATTTTAGATTTATATTGGACATATCAACTGAATTCTTGTTTAGAACTAAAGTATTTATTCATTTTCAAAAATCAATTTGTAAATTAAGATATTTTTAAATATTTATTCCCTTTGGCTATGTTTAAAATAATCTTCATTTCTACTTTTATTAAATATAGATTGTCTATTTTAGTTCGTAATATATTTTGATTAAAAAAGATATAATCGAAAAGATTTTCTACAAATCTATTATTAAGAGGAAGCTATTAATCAAAAAATCATAATTTACATATTATATGTAATCTAAAAACAAGGATATATATATTATAGGAAAGAAAAATCATTGATATGCATCATTACATAATAGGATATATAGTGGTTTTTCCTTCAATGCAAGTTATGTTGCTAATTCTATGAAAATGAGATACTGTCATGAATCTTCTTTTGTCTTGAAATAGACGATATATATACATCATATTTACTTTATCTGATGTCAAAGAAATGGAATACTATTTATGTTGTATTTCTAGGACGAAGAGTACAGGCTGTGTATACGTTTGTAAACAACTGTCATATCATATAGAATATATATATATATATATATATACTTGCAAAAGGATGCCGAGACAACGCTTTATTCTTAATGGTAATAGGAAACACCTACATATCATCTCCTGTCTATGTAGAATTTATACTTGAAGTACATAAAGAACGAGTAGAATAAAACTTTACTCGATAATTCAGTTTTTCCACGTATTGTTCTATATTTTGCATCTGGACTTGAACCGAAACTGTCGCGTTTAGTAACAGCTGGAAGAAGTGCATCTTCGAATAAATCTTGACAACCAAGAAGTCTTGAATTATAAAATAAAACAAAACGAAAAAAATATTCTTAAATAAAAGAGAGATTAATTGAACTAACCGAACTTGAAGTTTACCAGTAACAGCAGCTGGTTTTAATACACTATCATCATACAGTGTTGATATATGACGATTTGAATTCGTTTCATTTCGTTTTTTATATCTTCTTCTAAGTGCTTCTTCAAGTAATGCAATTCTTTGTTTCGATTCAAATAAACTTTGATGTGCTTCAGCTAAAACTTCTTTTTTCGCACCAGTTTGTTTAAGAACTTTAACAGCATTTTCTCCACCTTTTTTCATTGTTGTTTCAATAGTTAGATGATGTTCTAATTGTTCTATTGATTGTTCAGATGGCCATAATGCTTGATCATTCGAATAATTATTTTCTTTGGAATTATTTGCATTTTTAGGTAATAATAATTCGGTTTCAAGACGTTTGATTTCTAATCGAATATATTCAACTTTAGCTTTAGCATCTTTTAATAAAATTTGTGCTTCATCACACATTTTTCTTGATGATTCTTTTCTTTGTCCACTATATGTTGTTAAAAGTGTTTCAGCACCCGCTTTAACTTTTGTTTCGATTTCTAATTGTTTTTTAAGTGCTGTAATTCGTTGATGAATAGGATTTTGTTCATTTCCACTATTTGATGAAATTGTATTTGATGAATGTTCATTTGAACCTGGATAAAAAAAAATTCGAGATGATTTTTAAAGAAAAAATAAAATAATAAGAATTTAATTTACCATTTTCTAATCGTTTGATTTGCATTCGTAAAAAATCAGCTTTTGCTTTTGCATCTTTGAGAACAATTTGAGCTTCGTCACACATTTTCCGATAAGTTTCTTTCTTTTGACCTGTATATGTATTTAAAATTGATTCAGCACCTGTTTTTACTTTTAATTCTATTTCAAGTTGTTTTTTTAATGTATTTATCTGTTGATCGACTGATATTTGTTGTTGATGTTGTTCATCTGAATGATTATTTTCATGACAATCTTCAGGTTTTTTGTTAATTAAATAGAAAAGAGAATTTTAATAAAATAAGTAAAAAAAAAAGAAAAATAATACCATGTGAATTCATTTCATTAATTTGATTGTAAGAAGTCATTAGAATTGAAAAAATATTAAGATAATGATGACATTCAATGTCAGCGAGAATATTTTGATCATTCCTATATGGGATACATCAACTTACAGAAGAATAAACGACGACGACGACAATAACATTTTTTACTTTACATTTGGTAGATTGACAACCAATAGTGTTTGAATTTAATTCCTTTATTGATTAGCAAAGAGCGACCTCTAAGATATTCAACCTGAAATAAGAAAAAAAGAAATTCGATAGGAATATTAATCAATCAATATTTTTATTAGAACGTCTCCATATCTACAGAAATACAATATTTACTTTTTTTTTTATCTATTTGACAGCAGTTTTTAATATAAAATCTTCATTATTTGACTGAATCATCCATACATTAATATAATATTGATGTAATAACACAATCAGATTCAAGTAAATGAAAAATATTTTCTATAAAAAAAATTTTATATCATGAAAAATATTCATCAGTCTCATAATATCCTCGAGAATATATACAAAATCAATATTTAGTCAATCATTGACGAGCAGTAAATTAAAGTTTTGATTTTTGCACTAACATTTTTTCAAGGCGTTTCATCATTAATAATAAAATCTTTTGATATTGAAATAAATTGATCATCATCTTCTGCTATTCTACTTGAACGAATTATGCAAAATATTCCATTTTTTTCTCATTTCTATTCCATAAATCGTAGACTGTATTTCTTATTCAAATGAGTTTTTAATTCTTTACAAATAACTGCATAATTTCAATTTCTACATTCTGAATTTTTAAAATTCAGTTTACTTATTGATAGTTTTACTAACGATAATATTCAAGGATTTTTGTTAAGATAATTTTGTATTTCGATACTAACTGTCTTCTTATGTTTCAATCGAGTTGAAGAAAGAAAAAGGTTTTTTTCGAGTATTTTCAAGCATGCACTTCTCATTTGATTGGCTCGTCATTTTAATATGGAGTGAGTCTGTTGTGTTTAGTTTACATGCATAGATTCGGTGGAATTTAAGTTTAATCTAAATGATGAATTTGATGTTTATTCGCACGAAGGTTTAGACTTATTTTACTAGACGTATATTAATTCAGCTTGAAGATTGAAACTTCTATTGGGTTTATTTATATGTCGTGATATAGAAAATTCAATAGCACATAAACGGCGGAATGCAAAAGACTCGCTGTATAAGCTTAAATCGCATTTGAATTTGACTGAACTTCATCTGAAATCCAGCTATAATGTTTAATGAAAGGAAGAGAAATAGTAAATCTTGTAGTATATAAAATTCATACAGAATAACAAATCATAATGAAATTAAAGCAAATACTTCTATTTTAATACTGTAATTATTAAGACTAATTCTTTTCTATCTATTTTTCAAGCTCACGAGTTTTCAATGTCAAAGAAATCTTTTTAAATCAATTGTTGAAATTAGAAGATTTGATAGAATTGATCGATAATTTTAATTTTGAGAAAATAAAACTTTACTAAACGATAAGATATAACTAACTCTAATACTTATCCATCGATTTTCCTCCATATAGTCGTAAAGATGCCTTAATATTTTCTCTGCTTCATAATGCATAATAACCTTTCTATAATAACGATTCCTTATAAAAAAAGATAAGTCATTTTCTTTCGATAAACCACATTGAAAGTAATAAAGCAACTACAGCGATCGTTTGCAATTAATTATGCAAGTGATCCATTACCATCTATAGCATTATCATCGTATGAAATAACAAGTAAAAAAGAAAATTCTTCTTTTCTAAATCTAAATAATCCGAACAGAATAGTTTCAGCTATAGTGGATATAGTTATGAAATAAAAAGATTCATATCAATGCTTACAAATATATGAATTAGATAATATGAGAGCAAATCTGTTAAATGTCAAACATTTTTATCTGAAAAGAAACAGGTCGTTTCATTATTCATAGATATCTGAATATGTATCATATCTCAATCGTTTTGGTATCCGAGTCTGAACATGATTGTTTTCTCTAAACTCTCATATCTTCATATGAAATATGTCATTTCTATATAAATATACAAGTCAAAATTTAATCTTATATTTTAAATTATCAACTCCGAAATAACTTGATTTTAATACTTGATAACATGAACTACCAGAATGTAGTTTTACAGAATTTACGAATTTTACTAATAAGATTTTCGCCAACATATTAGTAGAAAATTTGCGTTTATTCAAATAATATTAGTTTACTTTTTCACATATATTCTATGCTAATCTTATCTTATTACAGATAGCCAAAATCCACTGTACTTACGCCAATGACGAATGTTCTATTGGCGAAGAGGTAGTAAGCCGGTTTTACTTCTTCATATATATGTAAAGATAAAACTTGAAAGAAAAGAATCACACTGAAACTCAAACAGTATGAATCTGAATTTCACACATGTTTATCCATATTTTTACTCATCAATACATTCAGATTTATCCAATGAAAATATATAATGAAATCTCTATTTGTATCTATAAAGATCATTATTCATGATGTCTTGTACTTTAATTAGCTGTTTTTAATACTTTTTATCTTTCTTAATGATGGTAACTGTTGTACATCGAATACTCAAAAAATAAATATCTGAAACTTGAAGGGAATTCTTCATTTATTCGTTCATTAATTTCTATTTATAAATTTTCAGTAGGATATCATTGACTGAAACGTATTTTATATGAATATTTAATTAAAGATAAATGCGAAATTATTTATTTCTATAATAGCAGATAAAATAATCGAGTAACTAATTTAAGCTTGTTTTAATTTACTTTCGTTATTTATTCAAAGATATTTAAGAGAGTTGATTCAATATATATATTCTAAAGATTTAATAAAAAATTACGATACACATCATCCTGACGATATGATGATAGATGTGCATATAAGAGACGAATATAATGCTTTCACGTTCACGCCAACACCCTCTTCATCAAATCAATATTTACATGTAAATATGTTTTTAATTATGTTTTTCACAAATTTTAAAAAAAGATTTTTATTAAAAAACCAATGAAAAAAGATGTCGTCAGAAATCTTCCTCGTTTTATGATTGGTTTATAAATGATATTTCATGGATCGACAACGTTGCCGATTTTCTTAATCGTTTTCGTCTTATAAATTTAAAGAAGATCCATTTGTGTCGATATACATCACTTGAAAATGGTAAGTTTATAAATCTATTCATTTGTTCTAATAGATATTATTGATTTTTATTATAGGTTGAATTTAAAGGACCTGGTTATACAAGCAATTATAATAATTTTGCAATTATCATTCCAGCTATTATAATTGTTACTCTTATCGGTTAGTTGAATTAAAATTGAAGTTTTGAAAAAAAAGAAAAACGAAAATTTATATTATTTTATTTGTAGGTTATTTTGCTTATCGTTTGGTTGATAGTTTAATGTCTAAAAAACGACAAAAAGAAGAAAAAAATCGATTAAGACAAAAGAAGAAAGAAAAACAAACATCACCTCAAACATCTCCAAGAAGCAAACAAAAATGATTTCATTTTAATTTATTTATTTTTAACTCTTATTCGTTTTTATGTTTTTGTTGTGGATGGATATTCTTATTAAAACGAAAAATATATATATTCATATTAGAAAATATCATCTTATATTTCTCGAAATAAAAATTTCAACATATTTAGAATTATTTCAATTTGTCATTAGAATAAGAACTATTTTGTCTACAGCGTTAGTCTTATGAAATGAAATATATCAGTTGATTTTAAACTGATATTTTGTAAAAACCAATGTAGATATTTATTGTATTCTAAACCGACATTCTATAAGATAATTTGTAACTGCTGATGCACTGATAATGAATATGCGTAGTTTCAGTCTTATCCAATTCTATTCATGAAGAAAAAACAAATAGTAAGTTAGATGAGGAGTCTCTTTTGTAATGAAAAGATCATTAGGCATGTTTGAGAGTGGAAGCTACCGAGCAAATGAAAGACATCAATTCCATTCTTCTTTATTAGTTGCTTTAAAACGTGAGAAATTGAAAAAATTTCGCGAAATAATTGACTTATAGAAAATATAGGTCAGGTTTCATTCGTGAAACTATCATATCCAGGGTGTAAAATTCCTCCAATGGAAGTGCAGAAATTCCATAATGGACACTGTATTTCATTTAAAGCCGAACAAGTCCGGTCCAAAAAGTTTTGTAGAGGATTGTTTCATTACCTCGTAAAATTCTATACCGGAAGGTATTTATTAATTAACTGACGTTCTATAGGAGAGAATTTAATGAAATTTTTACAGGTAATAGAGTTCAATAGCTTGCAGTGATAATTTTTTTCTTATTGAGGACATATAGATATTATAATATGAAAAAATACAAGTCTGAAACGCTTGACCGCGCCGATATCTAATGACATGAATCAGTTATAATAGATTTCAATTAATAAATATGAATATTTACTATTATGTACTCATCGAAGAATTGTAAGACGCGGAAATAGATATATTATAATTCTTATTGACTTTTTTTCTTATAAACCAAGAAATAAAAATAAACAATAAATGAAACTATTCTATATTTATCATTTGTATCAAGCGAATTACAATAAAAAAGGAAACAGCTGATTTTAATGCACTAGAATCTCTCAAAATCCAATCAATAAAATAGATTGAATCTTGAATTTTTTTTCAGGACTAATAGAATTCGTGAAGGATAAGAAAATTGAAAGTTTTTAAAAAGTTATATTTATTTTGGACTAAATAGACTCATTCAAATTTATTTAATAGAATATTTATTCTTGCGTAGGTTTTAAGTGCAAGAATTACTGATTTTATTTGACAAGAAAAAACTAACATGCCAAAGATTAGATAAATAAAATCTTTATTTAAACAAGTATTTCATTCATCGTTTGATAGGTCTTGATTTAATCACAAATTAAATAAGAAAGATTTAAAATAGATAATCTTCGAAATAAGAATTTTTATATTAATAATAATAAATTAATGAAAAACAAAATAGTTCACTCTCAACATAAACTATAACTGATCATACAATTTAAAAAAAAACAAGTTCAATATCTTTTTTTTTTGCCTATAAATCTTCTGGTATTGGTGTAGGAACTTGTGTTAGTAACATCGTATTTGTTCCTGTTCCTTTTTGTTTTAAAGTAATACTAATACTTGATTGATTATTTTTTGTATTTAATTGATTAATATTTTTAGTAAAACATTTAGGTAAAATAATTTGATACATTTCGATACGAAATTGTTGAGACATTAAACAATACATAATAAATGTGATAAATGATGAACCAATCGATGTTATATCCCATAGATCACCCAATTGTGAATATAATTTAAAAAAATGTTTATCAATACAAGCAGCAATTAAAAAAAGACCTTGAGGAAATTCAACCAATACAGTAAATAATGTTATAAATACAAGCATTGTTGTTGTACGTAATTCACGTTTTAAACGTGATGAAGATGATGATACACTCGGATAACGTCGACTAAGACGTTCATGTAATCGACGTGCATGACGAATATTTAATATTAATAATATACTGAATACAATTAAAATAAAGACTGGTATTATTTTAAAACATAATGCTAATATAGCAAATGACATTTTTTCTAATCGTCCACCTGTTACTGCACTAACCCAATGGATAATTTCAGTTGAATTTTCACTATATACATGAGGATAATATTGATGTGCAGGATGAGTAACAACACTCCATGATAAATAATTTGGTATCATTAATAAACATATTGTAAATACAACAATCCAAATAAGAATTGTTACATGAGTTGAATTAACTGAAATTTGTTTTGGTTTTGATATAATTACATATCGAATCTAAAGAATTCTATGAATAATAAATTCTATTCTATATATTTTGTCATTGATACTTACAATAGCAAGAAGACAAGTTAACCATAATGCAATTGTATGTGCTGTTAAACCAATATTAGAATGAATGATTGCAAAACGTGGCCAGAATATTGATTGACCAACAAATGGATTTGGATCATGAATTATATAAAAATATAATGAAAATATATTGTATGATATTAATACAATTGTATCAAAAAATGCCACATGTTGTAAAATTAAATTTGTTGGAGTTTGAAAATGTTTTCTATTAAGTACAATTATTGTTACTATACTTGATAATATACCCAATATTGTTAATGGAAATACAATTCTTCCATGAATTAATGCATAATGTTCAGTAAATTTTATAAGAATACTAGTTGATGAATTTGAAAACATTTTTTTTTTGTTTGCTTCTTAATTATGTTTATTGATCATCTAAATAAGAAAAAAAAATATATTAGTAAAATCAAACTTTAATATTTGAGAGTAATTATTAATATTATTGAAATATACATCGAATGCTTTTATTTTATTTTATGAAAAGAACAGGAAAACAACATTTTCATTAGTTATAGAAATAGTCGCGAAATAGTTCTTCTTTTTTTTATTGTGCTACTTAGTAATATAGTGATTCTTTATATTTCTTATTGATGCAAACCTTCGTCTAGTTTTTTTTTTCTTTTGTTTTCTAAGTGTGTTTGTATGTCTATATAGTTTAGTGGTAGGTTAATTCTATCTATGTGTCATGAACAGAATTGTCACTTTTTACATTTATTATTGAATGATATTTTATTGATTGACATACCCATTTTGCGTATCACAGTAATCAAAAAAAAACAATTATTCTCCAATATAGAAAAACTTGTAATACTTATCTATGGTACATATATATATATTTATGTTTATACAGCAAGATAAATATGGTAGAAAATTGATTGGAACATTCCTTAGCTTGCGTAAAGACTACGAGCGATGTCTTTGAAAAAAAATAACATGGTGAATATGTTTTTCCTATGAACGATCAGTCATGGCATTGGATTCCCCAGAACATCCATTAGACATCAAATGAAAATACGGAAATGAAAAAAATCTCGACTATTTTTTTTTCTTGATTTATAGCTTGAAGACAAGATAAACTAGTTTTTTTTAATCTTTACTTTCCTTGTCATCATTTTCTTTCTTTTAGCAAAGAAAAGAAACCTACATATATTTTTCTTTTTTTTTCATCAATTAGAAAAAAACAAATTAATCTCTTTCATTATTAGTAATGTGACTTTACATAAATGTAAGCCTTTGCAATATATGATGATGTATGACCTTTTTTCTGTCTATTAAAAAGTAAGCAAAATGATTGCATCGTTTAAAAATAGTTCTATCTATTTTTGTATATTGTTGTACAATAATCAATTGTAGTTTTTCGTGTTTATTAAACAGTAATTCTGTAATTGTCTCGGGAAAAGAAATGTGCGTGTTATTTTATTGTATTAAGAAAATAAAAGAATATATAAAAAAAACATTTTCAAATCAGTGACCAAGTATAAATTGAAGTAATGGAATTACTTTAATCGATGATATATCAGAAAATATAGCCTAAAACAATTATATATGTAAATATATAATCTAAGAGACAATTCGAACTATTACTTCAATCGCTGTTTCACTTGATTCTTTTAGAACATTTCCTTTACGTAATATAAATATTGCAGCAGCAAGAACTAAACAAACAAAAAAGGCAGAATATATTTTTTGAAAATAAGATAATTGAAATACCAGCTAAGATTTCTAATGAGTCATAAGCAAGTATTCTATCCCAAAGTGCTAATAATTGATTGGAACCTAAATAACCTGAAAATGCTCTCATCATCCATTTAAAAGCAATTCGTAATCTAAACAAATTATTTTAAATAAATAAATAAATAAATCAGTAATACAAAAAATCTACGGTTGAACTTGAATTTCTTGTAAATGAAACCATAATTCTGATGAGATTTGTCGTAATAAACTTTCAAATAAAACACATAAACCAATAATAGCCTGAAAATAATAAATCTTTGATTTTGTCTAAGAAAAATAAATTTATATTTTTACTTTTGGTGATGCGGAAATATGATGTAAATGAAAAAAATATTTCATATAAAATTGTTGAAAAATAAAATATAAATGGATTGGATCTTCAAAAACAAAACACATTGGTGCCACTTAAAATAAAAACAAGAATGTTTTAATATAAAACAAAATATTTGTTCTTCTACCAAGCATTGAAAAACCATAAAATGGAATAATTCCATTTGGTGGGTAGATTACTGAACATTCATCAGCATTTATTACTTTTTTAACAAATGATCGAATTGGTTGACAACCATTTGTACTCGTTGAAAAACAAGATTGAACATATGTATCACGAGAAAATAATAAAAGAACCTTTTAATTAGAATTAATATAAATAGAAGATATTAGATTTTTATTTTTTTAATTACTTGATATAAATAATCTTCAAACACGAACAATTGATCATCATTTACTGCTGTTAATTTTACATCCTAATTAAATTAATTATCAATGTTATTTTATTTTATAATGAATTTTCTTCGAAAATATGTTTTTCAATAGAAATAACAAATAATGATAATATGAAAGATTTATAGAAATGAAATATGCTTAGTTTGACATGTAATGCTTCAGTATTGATAAGCTTATTAGAATATTACTCTTAAAATCTTCAGTTCAATAAGTACATTATGAATATATAATTCGATAGATATTTCATAATTTTTAAAACATGTCATATTTAATCATCGAAAAACATTCTTTACACATATATTTAAGTATTTAAAAGTTTTCTATGACATGGAAATTTCAGATTATTTGACTACACAATCTGAATTAGGTGTTACACAAGATGTAATATATTTTCTTTCAATGTCATTCATTAGTTTGACAAGGACGTAAGAAGATTAGAAAGTCTAATCCTCTCAGATCCAAACGTACATTTCTCTGAGATACAAAAAAACATTTTATCTATTGTTTTTAGCTTTAGAATTATTTTATATTATAAAATGTAATTAAATCATTGATCTTATTACAAAAAAAATTCAAATTAATGCGTAGACAAGCTAAGAGTTCTTAAATTCTATGTCAAAGAAAAACTATGGAATTAGATCAGATAGAATAAAGTTCTCTATTTTCATATAATATAACTCAATAAGTTTACAAATACACTCATCTATGCTATGAATATTATTTATTACCTTAAAATATAAACTATCTACTAAGAGATCAAAATCGATGACATTTTGTTTGAGATAATTGAAATAGGTCAAATGCTAAAAATGTAAATCAATAAAGAAATTAAATTTATATAAAAAAATTTATTTTATATACCCAATTTGAAAAGTCAACATCTAACATAGCTGACCAAAGTTTTCCTCTTAAACTTGTTGGACAACCACGTCGTGCATATTCACGTATAGAATTTATATTCCATTTCTTTTCGAGGACTGTGAAAAATATATTTTATTTTCATTTTTCTATTAGATTTATTTATTTTCTTTACTTTGTAATGCTAATCGAATATTTTCTTCTTCTTTAACTTCATTAAATGTTTCATCAGAACAATATTGAATTATATTTGGACAAAGATCAGAAAAGAAACTTTTCTATTTGAAAAAAAAAGATTTGTTTTTTCCTTCAAAATCTAAATTCAACATACAATTTCAGTAAAACTCTTTGTTACGATTGGAATTTTGATTAAACCACAACTAAATTTAATAATGAAAATATATTATTTAATATAAAAAGTATCTCTCACTTCCAAAGTGATTCATCAATTTTAAGATTTGGATTAATTAATACACAAATAACATCGAGAAAATCTTTTGCAGAATAAACAGGACGAAAACGATTTAAGTCTTTAAAAAAAACCAAATATTTATTTATGAAAAAAACTAAACTTATTAAATAATAAATAAAACCTCCACAGATATGACCAAGTTCATTCCAATGTTTTCTTACAGATCGCATTTCATTTTCATTTCTCTATTTCAATATTAAATAAAATCTTGAGTTTATTTTCAAAAAAAATTAAAACAAACTTGTCGAGCAAGTGGTAAATTTATTTCAACACACATTGTATTTAAACTTTTTACTATTCTTTTTTCCCATGTTGACTAAAAATAAACGTATATGGAAGAAATATTAAATTACAAGTATAATACATACTTGACCTTTCTTTAAATAATCAATTTCATATTTATGTTCATCTATGGCTGAGACATGTGCAGATTGAAATGCATACTGATAATAATTGTATTGTTCTTTATTGAAAAAGAAATTTCGAAAAATGATTTTTCTTTTTTTTTTTCGTCAATAAAATACCTGATTGTTTAATTGTCTGAAGTAAAGATTGAAGATCTTCAATAGATTTGTCTGATGAAAGTAATAATTTCTATAGAAGAATGTTTAGAAATAGTGAAAAAATTAATTTCGTTTTTTTTTTAAATTACCTGAATTTGATTTAAAAATAATTCTTTCAAATTATCATCGGTTTTATGACTCATCTTAAAAATATATTAAAACTCTAGCATAATAAATGTTCAAAGTAATGTAAAATTGCTATGTTCATCGATCTAATCATTAGTTCATTGTAACATGATGGATAAAGATGTCATAGTAACGAATAAGGTTGATAAACAGATAAGGACATCTGTCGGTGAGTGACCTTAACTGATAGAGTCTTCTCATTTTACTTGATTTATCAATGAAAAATGGCTGATTGACCGAGTTTGATTCAAAATTGTGTTTTATTTTTGGAACAAATGAAATTACATATACTAATTAGAGTCAAACTTTTTTGATTAAGAATTTTTAATCATTGATAGTTTATTTTTAAATATAAATTTTATGGAAGAAGACATCTACTATTTAAGATAGTCCGGAAGTTTAATCAAATACAGAAAAATTGTTCATTATTTTGAGAGATTTTCAAATCACGTATTGGAAAATTGAAAATATAAAGCAAAGATTTTATTTTCTTACATCAATTCTGTATCAATATAAAGAATCTTTTTTTCTAATAATTAGTTTTTATTACTATGCTTAGCTACAAGGTAATTTCGATGAAAGAAGTTTTTTAATAGATTAAATTTCATCTTATAGTAAGAAAAAAAACGAAACAAGATTTATTTGTTACAAATAATCAGATGAAAGCCGTCAGCTTTTCTTTGTTAGTTTCTATTGAAATGAATCATTTTATTGACTTGAAAATGGTTGGTTGGTTTAAAAGCTGACGTGTACAAAGTATGTTTTTCTTTCTTTTCTAGATGGTTATACCATCATTTGTTTTTATATTTTTCATTGGAACAGGTTTGATATAAATTTATTTATTTTATTAAAATATTCAATAAAAAAACAAACTATTTTTCTTTCAAAAAAATTAGTCAATAGTCAAAATCGGTGTAAATTTG